TGTGTGTGCATATACACACACACATATATATATATATATATATATATATAGCAAGTGTATGTCTACATGCACCCCTGAGCCCGAAACCTCAACACAGGCAGCCGGATGTAGTATAGAAGTAAGTCGGAATAATAAGCCAACATACTCCCGAAATTCAGGCCGCTACACTGATCCCTTTTTGTCGCCCTTACAGGAAAGTGTTCTCACGATGAAGGTGCCGACCTAGCCGAGGTTGGGCCATGCCAGCAGCACAGCACCGGAGCTCAACCGCGGAGCTGTGCGCAGGGCGCGGCCCCGGGGGTGTAATGGGGCTTCGGTTTAGGAGCCAGAGCAAGTATTAGTAAGTGTAGCTATTCCTCACCTGTCATGCTACAACATGCCCCAACACCCTACCCCAAGTATTCAGGCACCTCAATTACCCCTGTTGAGGGTGTTTTGCGATTCAGGGTGTAGAGGCAGGGGTGTAGAGGGGTGTAGGTGTAGGGTTCAGGAGGCTCTGTTCGTTCTGAACTTTCGCATCGGTTGATGCCGCAACGCTGTCGAAAGAAGCAGCTCGTGTAATTTGCGGGGTGTCGTGAAGTCGCTTTTAACCTGAGCTTTCAACTGCTTACACTAACTAGAAACCCCCAAGCCAAAGTTCTAAATACTTAAACCCTACAACCGAAAGCCCTATAATCCTTATACCCTCCAAGACCCCAAGCCCTGAAAGCCCCTAAACCGCAACCCCTAAGCTGTAAAAGCCCCGAAACCCTAAACCCCAAAGCCCTAAACCCCAAACCCCTAAGCCCCAAAAACCTTACAGGACCCTTACAGAACCCTTACTTATGGATCCATTTAAAGGAACCCCTATAGATCCCTTTATAAGGGAGCCCTGTAACTCTAAACCTGGCGGAGGCCTTTGCAAGAGGACTCGGCATGGCTGCGTCGGCATCCAAAGGTCGTGGTTTGGTTTGGGGCCTTTTTGGTTTAGGGTTTAGGATGAGGCTTAATGTTTGGAGTTTAGGGTTATTTTGTTTTAGGGCTTAAGGGGTTTAGCGGTTCAGGGTTTAGGGGTTCGGGGTTTATGGGGTTAGGGGTTTAGTTTTAGGGTTTAGGGTTCAGTTTTGCAAGTCATCAAAAAGAACCTGGTCAGACATGCTCGCTTCGAGTGACCGACCGAGCTCTTAAGGCAGATGGGTACTTCTCTGAATTTGGGTCCCTTGTTAGGTCCCCATAGTACGGCATCCTTACAAAAGAGGACCTCTAAAAAGGACAGAAAAGGTTGTCTGGCAGCTAAATTATCGGATTTGACCCCTTTTGGGCAACTCGTTTCAAATGGATTTTCTTGTAGGGAGTGGTCCCGTGTGAATGTCGCCCTTTGGGTTTACGGTGCTGGTATTTGTGACATAGTTGCTTAGACCAGGATGGGCTTTCGTGTCTAGTAGTACTTGGAGGATCATGGGGCTTAGTCAATAAGGTTATAAGTACTTTAACTGGGGTTATAAGTGGGTATAAGTATAGTTACCGTACTTATAACGCAGATTGTCGAGTTGTTTCGTTGCGAGAACGGCACGGGCACCATCCCAAGCTAGGGCTGTCATGCAACGGTGTAATCCGGCAGAGGACTCGCAAATTGCAAGCGGTCGCCAAAGTTCAAGACTAGTCTATCTGAAAGATGCATGGTCATTGAGCTACTTAAAGGATCATGGGACTTAGTCACTAGGGTTGGGTTATAATTAGGGTGACTATGCTTATAACTACTTACGCGCGCTGACTGTTCGAAAGATCGCAGAAACCACGTTGCCGAGGTCAAGACACCTTGAGCTGACGCTGACGGCCATTGCAAAGGTTGTGGGGTTCTCATTAACCCAGAGGGTGCATTTACACTACCCTTTGTGGAAGGGTATGGTTTTGGGGGCCTAATTCCATAGAAGTAGTGTATATGGACTCTCTGGGTAATGCAGGGTTCAGGCAATATGATTATTACAGCCTGCAGGCAGCAAACTGTGTCGATGCTCTGGCGCATCCCCGAACCTTCAGCCTAAAAGGTCAAGGTTACTTGGAGGATCATGGGACTTAGTAAGTAAGGTTATAAGTACCTTAATTGGGCTGATAAGTAGTTATAAGTATGGTTATCCTAATTATAACCCTAGTTACTAAGTCCCATGATCCTGTAAGTAGGTATCGCTCAGGCCAAGACGGACGCTGCCACGCGACGGACTGGCTCCTTGCAAAGTGCCTGGTTCGGGAAGAGCACTGCTGCGCAGCTAGCGGAGCAGCCGGGGCCTCAGACTTGCGAAGACCACGGCGAAGCCTCAAAGATACCAATGATACTAATCATAATAGTAATAATATTCTTATTAATGATATTAATCGTAACAATAACCCCAATATAAGCATATTGGTTGTCCGCTAGTTGAGCTTTCAGGGGCCTTGGAACCAGGCAGTTTGTGGCTGCAGCTAAACTAGAGTATAGTTGGGGTTCAAGTTTTAGGGATCAGGGCTTGGTTGTTCTAAGACGTATGCTGGATACTATTTTGTGCCCCTTTTTCCGGATGCCTCTCACTTGGCTTGCTCTGCCCCCACCCTCGTCTGCACACTTCTGCCGGAGACAAAGCGCGCTTTGGCCCCAGACCCAATTGAACCCGACCATAAACATACACCTTGCAGCAAGATTTAATCGCGGTTTGGCTGGAGGCTCCGTGCAACGCTGCTCCTCTCGCTGGGCTTTTGCGCACCCTGGGCGGATTTCCAGGGCTGGTGAACTTCGGAGATATGTACCAGTTCGCGAGGGTGAGGTTTAATTATTCAGGTTCTTCAAATTATCCCCAACTCCAGGGTTGTGAGCTGCTCTGTCTCTGCATCTAGGCTTGGAGCGCCTGCCAAGCTTCAAAAAACCATGTGCATTGGCATCGGAGCTCATCGACGTAGGAACTGAAGGCTCGTCCCCGTTCTCGTCCCCAAAAGCTAGAGCTCCACAAGCTACTCCCGAACCTGTAAACCTTGAACTCTAGATCGTAAATACGCGGGTTCAAAAAATTTGGTCCGCGACATGTCCAAGGGAAGTACGCGTAGGAGATGAATCCTGCTGACCCTATAATTTATAATGCTATGCTCTACTTGGAGGTTCATGGGTGGTTATAAGTAGAGTTATAAGTCCCCTAATATGGGTAATAATTACAGTTACCTTACTTATAACCCCACATATAACTACCCCTGAACCTCCAAGTAAACTCATACTGTCCCCGTATGGCAGGCCATCCACTCTCCCGGGCCAATGCTGCTGCAGGAGAAGGCATTCTGTGTAGCAGGCTTCAAACACTCACTAGATGGCTTACTGCTTATTGTGGTATACACTTCGGCCAGGGCAATGGGAAGGGGGGGGGGGTGGGCTTGCCATACATTGTACAGCAGTTATGATCCAGAAAACAGATTGTGCCCTTGATTTCAGACTGTTACGGCAAGTATCAGAGACGTCTGGATGGCCAATCTTGTGGACGGCCTTGCCTGCGGGGCCATCCAACGAACTTCCTAACTTCGGAGAGCTCGCTGTCAAGTGTATGGGCAGATACTAACATGTGTACAATATCATGTGTACAATATGTTGGGCACTGCCCCCGCTCAGCAACAGTTGAACAGTCTTCATAATATAGATCTATCAGGCCCTCAATAGTAGCCCTATTGTAGACTGTTGCTGTACGGGGCAGTACCCAGTGTATGGGCAGATACTCACATGTGTACAGTTTATATGTTTAGAAGTTTGCATGCTCTTTCGTTTCTGTGCATGCGTAGAACACCGTCGTATGATAGCATGTCTTGTGCTGGTGCCGCCAAGAATAGCGCAACGAGCAGTTCTGTGCTAGCAGTAATGTCCGATCTTCACTGATAATGCTGATATGAAAGATTACCCATACTAATCTCGGTATGATAGTCAGTCATTCTCATAATCGTTTGTGTCTTTGGCACGCTTTTTGTTCACAATAGCTTTGCGAGCACTGCATGTTGTCGCGTGGTGTTGGCTGACAACGCATGGGTCTTGCAACTTTGGCGGTGGAAGGCTACTCCTGTGTCGGGAACCCCGACAGAGACCCCGTTTACAGGATCCAAAACACAGCACCCAGGAGAAATCCTAGAATTAAATGGGTTAAGCTGGGGCCTCCTTTGCAAGGTTCAGTGTTTTGATACATTTGGTAAAAGGGGCCCGGGAATATGCCCGGGTCCGAGATCCCCACCCGTTCTTTCACCGGGCCAGAAGCACTTTTGAACCCTGGCCGAAGGGAGCCATGAACCGTGAAGCTCAGGCACACTAAACTCTAAGCCCCATGAGCCCAGTTTCTTGGCAGTTCCTTGTCTGCTTCTGTGTTGCTCTTCTGAGGCTTCGGAGCAGATTCTCAAGCCTTTGCACCAGGCCTGGTCTGCTGGTCGTCGTTGTCATACGTGCACAACTCCAAAATTCAAGAATGCCCGGCGTGCCAGGCACTGCAAAATGAGAGGACGGCCGGCATCTTGCGAAGCGCTGCCCCGATCCAAGACCTGGGCTCCCATGCCATAACTGGGAGATCAGCTCATGTGAGTCAATCTTTAGGGCTTATTGTTTACGGGTTTAGGGGTTAGGGTTTGGGAATCTTCTCGAATTGATCCTTGCTGTTTTGATTTAGTGCTGGTGGTGGTCCTGGTGGTGCGTCGTGGGAGTAGTCTTCGGTTTTCCAGACGGGGCTAGCGGCTGGCGTTTAGGACACTAGCATCGGTGGATCTGGATTAGAAGTTTCTGTTGCGCTTCGCTGGCACAGCTACATATTCAATTTTGCACGGCTCCGGTGAGCTGGCGTACCATGATGCAAAGTTTCGAAGGTAAGCTGAAGATCCTAACAAGCCTGAAGATTTTGACTGCGGAGTCCTTCTACGAACAGGTCAGGGTAAAGCTTCGATGTTGGCCTATAGGCAGGAATCTCTGTCGGAAGCTGCTTGAATCCTAATCTTCTTCGTGTCGATCATGTTCTCCTCCGGATCTTCTCGCGCAGATGGATGTGACACATGCAAAACGAACAGCTGGGCGGTGTGGTCCTCTGGCTGTCCTCCTGGCTGTTCTGCCACTAGGATATTGGCTATACCTGCAGCTGCACATTCTGGGTTCCTCCAATGCCAAGGCTGAGACGCTCCCAGAAGTCAGGGTTTCCGAGTTTGGAGCACAGACTCGTCCAGGAAGCGACTCCTCCGAGCTGCAGGCGGAGAAGTTCACATTGCCGGCAGCGCTGCCACTTCACCACGAAAGCCTGCCTGCCAGCCAAGTTGTGTGGCGGCCACCCGACTACCAATCTTTGCCAGTCGTTCCAGACGAGATTTGGAGAGCTTCAAGAGATATCCCCACCGAAGCTGGTTATCGGCTTCAGGCCATGCTGCTTCGCCTCGCCATAGGTCAGACGGCTCGGATTATGGTGTTTGGTGGCAGCATGACCTTCGGTGAGGGATGCTGTCCCAAACGAAATCTGACGTGCCTCCACAAACGGACGATGTGTGCTTGGCCATCGGATTTCCTGCACCGTCTACGCCAAGCTTTTCCATCTTCGGAAGTGGAGATGGAGCTGCATGCACGTGGAGGTTGCGATGCAGGCTGCTCTCTTCAAGAGATGGCAATGACGCTTACAGGCGATACAAAGGCCGCTTCGGATTGGATCATACTGGATTTCGGCCAGAATGGCTGGGGCACGAAATCCACGATTGAGGATTTTATACGTCTCATCCATCTGTTCCTGCCGACGACCCTGGTTACGATCATTTACAACAGAGATATGAAAAGAGACGAGCAGATGAAAGCGAATCCTAAGTGGTCGAAATACACTAAGGCTCTGCGCAAACTCCTGTATAGGACGGCTGTGCACTACGGCGTGCCCTTCCTCAGCTACGACAGAGCCATGCAAGATTTCGCAAGGACGGAAACTTCTGCAGTCGAGATTATGTGGCCAACCATTAATTTCAACGAGCGGCACCATCCTTCGTGGTCCACGCACGCGCTGTTCGCGGACATGCTGGTGAGCTGGTGCAACAACCAGTTGAACTTGCTAGCCCGCTTGCCATTGGCAGATCGATCGAGACTGGCGAAATCCCAAACATCCCCAGAGCTGCGTGCAGCTCCCTCCTTGGAGATGGATGATGCTTGGATTCCCCCCTTACGGCCCGGGCTCCCTCTGGCAAGTCTCGAGATTTGCATCGTGCCGCTAACTGCCCACCTAGCCCGGGCCCCTGGTCCGGGAAGCCCAAACATGAGTCTTTACAAAGAATGGAGCCTCTATGAAGATCGCCCCGCAAAGCCAGGATGGATTACAAAAGTCGTGACTGGTGAGAACTTGACCTTCAATGTGAATTTCAGCTCAAGTCCGAGATTGGTGGTGCAGTATCTTCGCAGCTACGAGAACATCGGCACGGCCGAGATGAGCATTGACAGCTTTTGGGCGTGGACTTCCTCTCAGTTTCCCAACATCCGTACTGAAACAAGGCGCTTCCCATTACGCGCCTGGTGGGAGCACCGCATGTCGGTAACCGAGAGTTTGCTGTTCAAGCCTTTTGCGGAAGGTCTCGCGCACGCGGGCAGCCGGAGTGCCTCCGTCTCGTTCCGCTTGGTAGAAGGCTCGAAGTTTAAGGTAATCGCGGTCATTTCCTGCTAGCCAATCGCCCTGGGCAGAATCTGCCTGGTCGGGGAAGCTTGTACAGCCATGATGTCGTTAAGCAAAGATGCCAAGGGTGTCTCACCACACCTCAGTAGTATAGGGGCCTGAAGAAGTGAAAGGGATAGCAGTCCTTTGGGTTGCTTGATATGACTGCGGTCACACAAACCCCAAAGCTGGGTCGGCTGGGGGCGGTCATGCCGGAGTACAAGGGCATGACAAAATGCGAGACGTGCGTGCACTACTGGCCTGAAGAAGTAGTGATATGAATATCCCCATGTAGTCCCTGGATAATTTAATGCTAGTAGAATCTACCCCGAAACCTTGCTCTAATTATTCCGGCTCCTATCTTGATAACAGTTGCGCAGAGCAGCTGTGGGTCGAATTTAGGTACAGGCACGGGCTTCTCTACATGTCTAAGACGGACAAGGATTGTCGCTGGATCAGGTGAAGACATCGAACCCCCTAAACCCTGAACCCTAAACCAGTAATTATGTTTGACGTCTTCCAACGCCTCAAACTTTCCCAAGTTTCACCTTCAAATTGACGGGTCGCGGTAGCAATGCCTGAAGGTAGCAGGTAGCGATGAAAGATCCCGAAGTGCCCAAAGATTGCGCAGTGCATGACCTTGAAAAGTTTTGACAGGAGGCTTGTCACGGTTTGAGACACTTGAAGGCTAAGCGAAGTTTATCCATGCTTTCGGCTCGCAGCAGTTTCACACTGTATTGTTACAGGTAGCTTAACGCCAGGAAGGTCCTAAGGTATAGAACCAGATTCCGCTTTTGTTTGAGTGCTTTGCCCGCCCAACCTGCGAGCAACATTGCACCTCAAAACCTCAAGAGCTCCTTCAATCTTGTAAACCCCCGAATCTGTGACTGACCCAGGTCGGAGGTCTTGAGGTCGTTTCGCGTCTGAGAGTTCGGCCATGCTGCGAGTCACGCTGCTCTCAGGGGAGGAGGTACAAGTTCCTGTTGAGGAGCTGAGCGATGTGAAAGCCTTGAAGCACCGATTGCATTGGCGGCACGGCCTCCCGCCGCCCTTCAAGCAAAGGCTGCTTCACGAGGGCAACACCTTGGAAGATGCCGTGAAGCTGGACTCAGTGATGGATCTGCAGGCTCAGGGCCCAGGGCCCGAAGCCTTAATGTATGCCCCCCTCGCACTATCTCAGAAACCCAAGCCCTAAACCCTAAGCCCTCCTCAACCGGAAGACCATCGGAAGACCTGGCATCCAGGTGGTGTCTGTGACGTGGTGCGAGGCTTCCGAGGATCAGCGGAGAGCACTGCGTGAGGCGCTGCTTCGTGACGAAAGAGCCCCGGTTACTTGGTGAAATAGGGGCCTTAATACGGTTGATGATAGAAATCCTGCATTACCCATAATAAGGAATATACCATAATTCGCATAGTTTAGGGCCCTTAAGGTAATGCAGGATTTATATCATCAACCGTAGTAGAAGAGTAGGGTTCCTTTAAAGGGTTTGTAGGGGCTACTACAAGGGATACTATCAGGGTACAATAACATAGCGGCCCTAATAGTCAGAATAGGGTTTTGGGGTATGGTATAGTATAAATATGTGAATCTCCAAGGTAGTATAGGTAATGGTTAAGGCCCTTACATTGGATTGATACGGTTTTGCAGAATCCCAAAGACTCAAGACAGAAGCCTTCTATAGCCGGTCCAAGGCCTCGCTTGGTGCAAGTCCAGCAATTCAATCAGGTTTTCTGTGAGGAGTCCTCGGATCCCTCAAGTGTTAGCGACCAAAGGCAGTTCCATGGCATCTGAGGTTGAGGCTCTGCTGCAAGTCCCAATAGACCCGGACCTCTGCATCCAGAAGGAGGATACTGCCTTGATCCTGGCGACGAGAAACAACAGCATCCAGGTCGCAGGGCTCCTCCTGGAGGCCGGTGCTCAGAAGAATCTCCGGTGCGAACATGGTCGTACAGCCTTGATGGTGGCAGCACAATTGGGTCGCCTTGAAATCGTGCGACTACTCGTCGCGGCCGGTGCTGATGTGGATTTGCAGGACGAACGCGGCTTCACAGCGCTGATGTTGGCGGCAATCCATGGCCTGCCGAAGATCGCGAAGTTGCTCCTGGACGCAGGTGCTCGAAAACACTTGCGTGATAATCAGGGGCGTACCGCACTGATTCTAACTCAAGATATCACTTGCATGATGGAATCTGGAGGCGGCTGTCTGATCCAGCGCTTCCTGCGAACTGAAGCGGGGCGCTTGACAGTCAAACGGATGCTCTCTTGATCAAGGGCGGGCCTGAATTCGACCTGCCACGCCTCGAGCGAGCCCAAAAACATTCGATGCCAGGACGACATATGACCATTAAAAGTATGCTTCGTATACCATAGACCTTTAAACACACAGCGGCTCTGAAAACCCGTAGCCGCGAAACCCCGAAGGCTTTCGCCACACAGAGAAGAGCATAGATTCGGAAGAAGCCTGCTTGCCGAACTCCCTAAAAGCCTGTGCCCCATGAACCCAGTCCGAAGCCCCTAAACTGGAAACCCCCAAACCTCAACCCTACAGATCCCTTATAGAACACTTGCTTATGGATCCGTTTCAAGGAACCCCTATAGGTCCCTTCAAGGGAACCCCTAAACCCTATAGATCCTTGTTATAGAACCCTTACATATCCCTTTCAAGGAACCCTAAATACGGAACCCTTACTTATGGATCCCGTTAAGGGAACCCAAAACATCCCTTTAAGGGAGCCCCTAAAAAATTCCATTCAAGGGACCCCGATAGATCCGTGTAAGGGAACCCCTACAGATCCCTTTAAGGGAACCCCTATAGATGCCTTTAAGGGAGCCCCTATAGATACTAAAAAGGAGCCCCTATAGATACCTTTAAAAGAACCCTTATTACACCCCTATGCCCCGAGGCGGAGGCCGTCTGCATGGTTGGGGAAGCCTTGCGTGGTCGAAACGCCGGGATCTCGCTGGGACCTCGGACAGTTCCAAGGCTTCTCAGCGCCGAAAACAAAAACAACAGAGCAGAATATGGGTTAGTACCGCATATATATATATATATATATATATATATATATATATACATATTATAGTTTAATACTTACTGTATCATGTAGTTTAACAGAATATAACATGGTAACATCATGAACGAGCATTCAACTGCATCATGATAATGCCCATACAGCCTATCAGCTGTGCTTGCAAATTGATTCGTGCATTTCCGGGCAATTGTGTAGCCCTCTTGAATTCAGCTGAAATCCAAGCGTTCTCGGCCGATGCACTGGACAACGAGGTAAAAGGGCCCTGGATCACAGTAGTGATGATATGTAGACGGAGCAAGCAGGTATCGTGGTACGATTGATGTTGGAGCAAGTTAAGACCAAGAGTTGAGGGAGTAGCAGGCCTTGTCTCAGCAGTATTTTTTGCTTCTTTTGTTGTTGCAGGTGTGAATGGTTGTGCATATGTCGGTGCTGATGCTCAGCATACCAACGAGTGCGCAGCTGATGGTGATGCCACTGGTGTGAATGTTGATCGTATCAAAGCAGATCCAGATGATTGAGTTTGCAGGGAGATGGTGACATGAATAATTAACAACCGCAACAAGTACGCCAGCTACAATAAGTACAACCGCCGCCACCGCACACCACCACCACCACCACCACCACCACCACCACCACCACCGCCACCACCGCCACCACCGCCACCACTAGCACTGCCATGGCCACTGTCGCTGCCACTAACTGCAGCTGCCGCTGCCGCTGCCACTGCTGCTGCTAGTGCTGTGACGATGACTAGTACGACTGAGGCTACGACTGCGGCTACGGGTTCACAGCAGCATCTCCCCAGCCAGCACAGCAACGGTCAGGCAAGCACGACCAGCACAGCACAATTGCGGCGACGACACCCGTCGAAACGGCAATAGCACCGACCACAGACAACCCATGTGACCAGCTCAGATTGGAGACGAGTTAGGCTTGGTGTTTGGGTAATGTTTCGGGCTTTGACCCCAGTGGAAGGCTGGGGCCGAACCTCATCTGAACCCCTGAGTCTGAAGAACTCCTAGCAGTGCTCACGATCCACAGGGTCCCTTCTTTGAAATATGTGTGCGAGCAAGATTATTGACCTATTTGTTCAAGCTCACCCCGGCCTCGACCTTTCCTTTTCTTTTGCAGGTCCGATCCGTTTCTTGCAGCTGAAAGCGCAGAGGCCTAAACTGCTGCTCTTTGTGCATTTCGTGTTGATTCGCCGGTTTTTGGAGCAGACTGGTTACTGAATCCGTCGCTCTTGGATACCGCTCGCGCCGCACGGAGAAGATGAAGGCAAGCTGCAGTAAACCCTTCAGCCCTGAACCCTACTTGCAGGTTCATGGGTAGTTATAAGTGGAGTTATACGTCCCCGAATATGGTGTATACATAGCTACCTTACTTGTAACTCCACTTAACCCCCATAAAGCCTGGGAGCCTGGAATACCGTAAAACAGCCTGAGCCCCGAAGCCCAACATCCTCAAGCCCAAATGGGAGTTTCCCAAAATAGGGGACCCTAATAAGCTACCCTAAATAGTAGCATCCTTATTATGAGGGCCCCTAAATAAGGTGCCCCTGATTTTCGGAAACTCCCAAATCCTGGCAGAGCTTGCACAACCTAAGCCTGACCCCCGAGATGCCCTCCAATCCTATAAATGCGAGCAAAGACATGAAAGTATCTAGTAACTTGATATGGTATATTGTACTATGACATAAACGAGTAATCAGACAATATTCGTTTATGCTGTAGTTTCTTGTGGTCTGATATGATCTAGTATGATATGGCATGCTATACCAACATGAACCGAGATACAATATAGTACAATAGAGAACAGAATATCGGTAAGTATAATAGGGTATAGTATAAGATATGATAGCATAGCAGAGTATTGTGTAAGAATGTACTGTGATATAGTATGCTGTGGCTCTAATTGAGCATCTTACGATGACATGATATGATGTAAGCAGTACGATATAATGTAACGTAAAGTGAGATGTTAAGCTCGGGTATGTTATAGTATGATACGTGGTTTGAAACTATTTCACGTAGTATGGCGCAATGTAGTATCCGGCAATAGGGCATAATGAAATGCGATGTAATGCAAGGTAATGTTAATGAAAGGTAGTGCAAGATAATGCAAGGTATTGCCAGGTAATGCGAGGCAATGTGGTGTGATGTAACGTAGTAGCTTGCAATACCTAGTGCGGCTTTTTACAGTATAGTAGTATATGGTGATGCAATACCTTTCAAAATCCCGTAAAACAAGACCGTTTAATACAGAATATTACAGCATAAGCATAATACCATATGCTGTGATATGGTGTAGTAGAAGATCATATAGTGTAGCCCATCATAGGACGATGCAACATAAATTAGTGAAGTGCAGCATAAAGTTACAAACTATAGCAATTGCGGTTATACTATACAGTAATAAGGCGAACTATTCTACCATATAGCACAGGTTGCTATGATGAGCCACCGAATATTATACAGTCACATAGTTATTTGTTCGCCTTCTTCAGTAGCAGTGTACCAGCTTATAGCTATATATATTATATTATATTATAGTATATATATATATACATGTATGTAGAATCACCTGGTATTTCATGGGTTTATATGGAAATATATAGGAAGATTCAACCGTATATTGTAATATATGGTGGTATGTAGTTATATATAGTAACATGCAGTAGCATCTAACGATGTACAGCCATACGACTGATGTAAACCGTTGTTATAATCACACATACATGCATACATACATTCATACATATGTACATGCATTCCCTCAAAAAACAAGCAAACAACAAACATACATACACAGACACACGTATAAATACATACATACAATGCATGCATAGATGCATACATAGGTACATACATGCACACATACACATTTACATACAGACTTACATACAGCTACATACATACATACATACACATGCACATACATTCATACAGACATACAGACATAATTACAGATACACAGGTATACATACATAGTTATGCATGTATATACACATAGACCTATACATGTGTAGTCACGATAACAGGAACCACAGGCAATAGAAATGATACTAATGAAACCAATATAAGGCTATATTGCACCCCAGAGGTGCCGCCGGAGCATTCGCCGATTGCAGCACTGGGCGAGGATAGTCCGACTCGTCAAGCTGGACTCCTGGTCGGTGTATTATAGGAGCCTAAATAGCTACCAGTATTCTTCCCATGGTGTTCCATCTCACGATTAGGATCGCCGTGGGCTGATTTGAGACTTGTCCGTGCTGCCTAGGTCGAATGGCAATAATAGCAGTGCGACAGAGAGGTTTGAGTTTGTGCGATGCACAATCGAGAATTCAGTAGGAACGGTCCCAGCGGCATTTTCCCAGTTGGTTGACCAACCCCGTCTCATCCTGTACCCACGTCGGGTAGATAGCACCATTGCTATTGTCATACTTCTGGGCCTTCAGTCTCTTCCTGAGGCACTCGCCAACCAGCGCAATGAGTTGATCGAGGCTGGCAGTCGCCCTGTCCGTTTTTGAATCCATACTTTAGCATGTAGTCGGAAGCAGACGATATGGATCAGTTCGTATTCGAAGGCTACACTTCTAGACTGCTGCAAGACTAGCGCTTATCTGCTCACCCCTGGCTTTGTCAGAATTCTTGCAAGATGCCAATTTCTCTTCAAGCCTGCCCCAAAAAACGCGAAGCCCCTGGCCAGTCAGCCCGGGCCTTCAAGATGCGACCTCGCAGAAAGTGTAAGTAAAGGCCTGAATGATTACAAATACTCTTCCTGACGGGTTCCTTGGTATACTTGGTATACTTGTACTAGAATAACATGCCCCACCCTAAATCTTGAACCCCGAAAGCTACTAAACCCGACTTGAAAAAAGCCTAAACACTTGAACCCAGGGTCTCAGGGGAGCCTTCTCAGGTTCTCTTGCCGCTCAGCGATGTGCCCAAGGAGCAGGACGGAGCAGGGTCGAACCGTACTCCTGAGCATGTTGGGCCATATAGGGGGTTTTAATAGTTGAAAGATGGGATTCCTTTTCCACGGATTTACAAAAATTGACCTTGAGTGTTGCCGGGTGGGTTACTCAAGGGATTTAGGTTTACGGCTTTTGGGGTTTAGGGTTTGTCTGGGCCTTGATGGGTAGAATAGTGGGTGTTGGAGCGAAGAGCGCTGATAATTATGCAGGCGTCTGCTTTGTGAATGATGTATTGAACCCACTTCCAGTCAGACACCACCGAAACCCCCAAATCCTTTGAGGGAAAGCTGCTTTACAGAAGTATCCCTGCACCTGTGGCTTACTCCAGGGGGCCCAAAGGAAAAGCAATACTTTTCGGTGGGACCCCTTTTATCGTTATGGTATAACATACGCTCGAGGCCCCTTCTGGCTTCCTGGGCTTCGAGCTTAGGCTAAATAGGGTGGTAGGGGTTTGGTCTACAGATTTCGAGATTTTCCGCATTAATTTGCTCAGAGTCTATTTGGGACGGTAGCTTCCGTCGGCTGGCAGAGGCAGGCGAGAACATGCTTGGGAAGGAAATATACCAACCGCACACTTCCTGCACAGTGGAGGGCATGTCAGCTTGACTTAGTTAATCAACCCTGAAAAGATGGGGAGCCACTCTGCAAATCTCACCACCGAAACGAATCGGAGAAACAAAGTAAACAAGTTCGAAGGGTTCCCCATTGCCCCAAGCGTGCAGGACGATGAGAGGGTGGCAGCTTTTGAGGAGCTGTGACGGCCTCAGGTACTTCGAAACCCACAAGCCTAAACCGTAAACCTAGCACCCTTTTTAGAGTTGGGAATACTTAGACCCATCTTCGGAACCCAAACTCCAGCGCTAGCACTCGACTACAGAACTTTCGTTTTTAGAGTTTGGGTTGTAAGAGGGGGATTAGCAGGCTCGAACCGCTACGGCATTGTTCCGGGATGCATGTCCTCGACACACGGTCTTCGCTTGCCGTCCTGTCGTATGCCATTTGCTCGTATCAAGCCTAGACTGCTGCGTTTTCGGTACCAGTGCTGGCACCACACAAGTGCCACAGCTCAGAGACTGCAAACGATCTTGAACGGGTGCTCAGTACACGGCTGACTGTAGCCATCATCGTGATACCAGTCGAATTAAGAAACAGTCGCGGCAATACAAGCACCCTACCAGAGAAGAAACACAAAAACTTACACCCACAAAGCCTGAACTCCAAGCCGCTCACTGACGAACCCCATAATAAAGGGGCCTCAATATTTAGAATAGGGCTTGGTGTTATACTATGCTACATATATACATATATATATATATATGTTTGCAATAATAAGGAACTCCCAAATCCCTATTCTAATTATTAAGGCCCCTATATGATAGATCCCTTTTCAATTTTCGTGGCCAAGGAAAGGCCCCTTTGAAGGGAACCATATTCTAACCATTAAGGCCCCTACAGCACACGCACCCCTTTCAACGCCACGCGGCGCTTCGTTTCATGGCTCGTGGAATGCTTGGTCCGATGGTCATGTGAGGCCTGGGTTTGCTCTAAAGCTGTTCCTTTAGTCGGGTTTTAGGGCTTAGGGTTTAGAGTTTGGAGTTTAGGGATTAGAGTTTAGGGTTTAGGGTTTGTTCAGGGTTTAGGGATTCGAGTTTGGGGTCTAGGTATCAGGGTTTAGGCTTTAGGGATTGGCTCTGCGTGAGCATGATTAAGGGTTCAGGGTTCGTGCGCAAGGCTCGTTGAGAGCGACATCCTGATCCATGTGATCTACGTCCTATAGTATATGGTATGGTATTAGAATGCATGGTGTTGCATTCACACATATATATATATATATATATGTATATATATATATATATATATATGTATATATATATATATATATATGGATAAACGTGTGTGTATATATATATATAGATAGATATGTCGCCGTTTATTTGCTACACGGAGTCTGTTATAGTATGCACCAAAACAGAGCTTGACGAAGCTGAAGCCACGGGGAAGGCCCTCTTGATTCCAGAGCCCAGTTCTAGGTGTGAGGCTTTTGAAGTTTCAAGAACTTCTTGCGGGTTTGAGGATTAGGGCCGGGTTTCTAAAGGGGCTTAGGGTTCGGGCTTCAACCACCAATGCCAAGTTGAAGGGGAAGCCACTGCATCCCAGAGCCATGCATGCTCAGCTCGCCTTGAGCCGAGATCAAAGATGGTAGGGCTTGGCGCCATAGCCTCCCTCTTGCGCTTCTACTGCATCTGCAGGATCGCGCGACTCACGGAGCAAAGCAGCTGTGGGACAGTCAATGTGGGAGAAGAGCATGGCGACGCAGAAGCACTCCTCCAAGGCATAAGACCCCGGTGGAGACGACGTCGCAGATGGTATAGACGATACTCTCCATATTCCGCCTCGACGACCTCGAGTCCGATAGGTCCTTCGACCTCAACCACTTCAGATACGACGAGCACTTTACTTTCAACTACTTCAAGCACCTTGACAAGCACGACAACCACGTTACTTCCACCAGATGCTGTGGCAGCTCTCATCACAGCCATGCCTTCAGGCATAAACCTGACTATGTGGGCCTTAAATAGTTCGAGTATTATACTATGACTGCAATAAGGAAGCCCCAAAATAGTATATTGCCTGCAGGCTTCCAGTTCCGCAACTTTGGATCTCAGTCGGATGAGTTTTTTTCGAGTCGTTCTTCCATGTTCCTTTGTCAGAGTTGGGTATCCTTTTACTTGTCAATATGGAATAACAAATGTAGTTGTTATACTTTTTACATGTTTATGGGTACTTAAACCCAATGAGGAATAAATGTGGTAAATTTTAATGCTATCCCAAGCATGAGCCAGGTTCGGCATTGGAGCTCGGGTCAGTGACCCTGTCACAGGTTGCGACACAAGCAACTACCAGGGACGGGGACTTCCCGAGAATGTTCTGGACGACTCTCTGAGGTGTAATGTAAACGACACCGTGGGAATCATTCGTGAAGAGGATGAAGCGCCCTTCTTCGGCATTGTTGGCACCTGCCCCCTAGAGTCTCTAGATGGCTACCGTGCCGAATGGAACTTTGTGGTGACTGGCGCAACCTTCTCTCGCGTGTGTTTGGACGTGGCCGCGTGGGGTACGTTCACAACAGATGGCTTAGAGTCTGACTACTTCAATTTCACTTGGTATACAGACAAGACAGCGACTTTTGATGAGTTGCCACTTATGAGCTTTCTTGGCCAGGAAGGCCGTACGCAGACCTACACTTTGGAAGGTGGCTACAATGTGACACTGGACACTCCCTGCGGTCTGGCCGGAACTGACGGAACCGTCGTTTTGAACAACGAGTTCCAGACAATATGCTCCGGCTACAACCTAACTGGAAACCTGCTGACAATAGCCTTGCACGCGCAGTCTTGTAGCAAACAAAGCATACTCCTGTTCAGAAATCTTCGCATTGCGTAATTTGCAGACCGGCAAAGTTCTGATCTCCTGGTTAGTTTCTCCCACTGACAAGACTATGCCCGTATGAGACTCACCACCGAAGCCCGTATGTGAAAAGCGCATCGCGGCGGCGGGGCGATTGGACAAAACATGTGTGCGAAGCCTTGTTAACTTTGCTACCGCTTCGCTGCTCACTTCCCAGCAGTTGTGGAGCACTGAGCAGTGCACTCTAAAGTATGCCATTAGCAGACTCACCACCGAAGCCCGTATGTGAAAAGCGCATCGCGGCGGCGGGGCGATTGGACAAAACATGTGTGCGAAGCCTTGTTAACTTTGCTACCGCTTCGCTGCTCACTTCCCAGCAGTTGTGGAGCACTGAGCAGTGCACTCTAAAGTATGCCATTAGCGGGTAACTGTACACATCATAATGGTTTAAGAATAATGATTCACAAACATATGTTTGCAGGGAGATTGACCGATAGACAGGGAGTTGGACAGAGGTGTAAGAGTTACGGGAAATCGAGAGGTTTCTGCTCTGCAGTGTGTGTGCCCTATAATGACCCGATATACTGTTGGCCAAGCAGGCTACTTGCGATGGTGCAAAGTTTGTGTTACACAGGTTTGTGCCCTCGATGCTAGCTGCCAGATGTTGCGAATGGAAACTGCCAATCCTGTCTAAGCAAGAGGACGAGTCGTGAAATCCGAAATCACGAGAGCATGTGCGGTTGTGACTGCAATGTGAGTTCCCGCATGGCGGATACCGATGCCTCCTGTACTCACATGTTACAGACGCCATGAAAACTGTTGCCATTGTCCGAGCAAGGGGTTTGGATTGCGCATGCCCTGTAACCCTACATGCCACACGATATTGTTCTGTATTCTTGCCTGGGTACATGGATTTACTAGTTCCTTTCTGTCATGTACCTTCGCTGGCAGAAACGATGCACCAAAACCAAACTTGACCTTCACAGGCGCTGTAGGAAAGATGGTGTGGATGGGATGCGGATATTGAAGATGATGACGATGATGGTGGTGGTGATGGCGGTTTGGAGCCAACCTTGTACGCATGAGACCCAAGCAGTGAATCAGCACGCGAGCAAAGTACTTCCGGGAAGCTTCGGAAGATGTGCCAACCTCCATGCCTTGATGAAGAAATCAACAAACCATTGAGTCTTCTAAACCCTAAACTAGAATCTTACTATTGTTATTATTTATTCTTATTGTTCTTGTAATTGTTATTGTTCTTATCGTTATTATTATTATGGAAGCTGCACGCTATTGTCCGAAGGCCAAGCACTCACAGCTGCGCGAGCGAAGGGCGCCTGCAGATGGCTAGCAATTCGTTCCTGCGGGTTTACGGGTTTAGGGCTAAGGGTACCTGTCCACTGGGGGAGGCTTAGATTCAGGATTTGCTCGGGTTGTGAATGGTAAGGTGAATGCAGGATGATTGCATATGACGGGGGTCCGCTTCACGGGATCTCGCTTTTCGGCAGGACGCATGTCCTTCATTGAGCCCGAAGGGCTGCTTTTGTGGGCCAGGAGGGCTTGAGATCTTGGGTACAGGTCCATGTGAGGACAGCATAGAAAAAATTGCACCTCCACCGAGCCTAGGTTGTTGCAATAGTTCATGACCTCTTCGCCCATCCAAATACATTTTGCTGATGCCTGCGTCTTGAGGGCGACCAGCAGTGCAGCAAAGAAAAGATCGCATTCCTTTGTTTCCTCTGCCAATTGCATACATGTCAACGGGCAGGAAGCTTGGCCGAAGCGTCATGCAGGAGGGTCGTAGTGTCAGGCTGGCGGAACTTGCGGGGACGGTGCCATGAAGATGACAAGATGGTAACAAACAGTAGCTGTACTTGTTACTAGTACTCTCTCTCATCATCTTTGCTGCGTTTTACTTAGGGGCACTTGAAAATATTTTTTCATTTTTTGTTAGAATACTCCCTAAGAAACAGCTAAAAATATGATTTTGCTAGGGTTGCAAGTTCAGTATAGTTTAGCCTTCGTCTCAGCAGGAGGATCACTGCAAACAAGTAGCGCTAGCAGGCGCCAGCACTATGTTTCCAACAGTTCTTGTGCTGAAGACTTCGTGGCCGTCGTACCAGCGACACTGTCACCACTTGCCAACGCAGGGAGTTCCGGGTCACATCGTGCTCTAAAGATGCCAGCCATGAGAATATTGGTTCAACAGAACTAGTAGATGTCACCCATACTCCAAACTTAAACAGGCGACGCGATGAGTAAGAAACTTTTCTCTGAAGCCCTGTCTCCGAGGCTTTGTCCTGGCCTGCATGCCATCAGTATGCATCCCAGCCATGCAGCAGTGACTCGTGCAAGAGTGAAAGCTGCAACTGCATTGTCTGGCTGTGGGGAATTTACTGGACCCCAAAAGTATGTGGAATGATGGCCGTTTATAGGCTTGGGGCTATTATTTTACCTACTTTTGGGGGTTTAGGTAGGCATGAGTTGGGCTTTCTGATTTCTGCCTATCAAGAGAACGTAGCAAGACCGCACCCCCAAACCCTAAACCCCTAAATCCCCACACTGCTAATCCCTGAACCTCTAATATAGTATACTATGCCTAAGCAAGGCCCTTTTCTAATTATGAAGGCCCGTAAACCCAAAACCCTAGTACCCCGAAGCGAAGGCTCGCTAACGGCGCTTCCCTTGGAGCTGCCATCCGAGCTCTTCGCGGCTTTGGTAGAGCGCTCGCTGCAGGACGGTCACGTCAATCGAGGTTAAGGGTTTAGGGCTTAGGGAGGATCATGGGGCTCAATTAACTAGTATTAGAATCAAGGTAACTATAGTTATAATTACAAGTAGCCCTATTTTTAGGGGCGTATAACCTTCGGTAATAGGTCCCATGATCCTCCAAGCCGTTTTTGAAGACTTTAGGGCGTAGGGTTCGGTCCAAAGGTTCGGCCTTTAGAGCTGCAGAGTTTAAGGTCGTGAAACTTGCAAGAATGCGGTTTAGGCTTTCTATTTATATTTGCATTTATGTTTATGTAATATATGTAATATATGTATATATATATGTAATAATAATACTACTAATAATAATAATACTAATAAATAGTAATAATAATAAAAATAAAAATAAGAAGAAGAAGAAGAAGAATAGTAATAATAATATATAGACATGCATGTCCGTCCGTCCGTATGTATGTATGTGTGTGTGGAATTGGCTTGAGCCCATTATGACCGAAGCCTGCGTGTTTCTCCCTATATCCTAGTCTAACATAGTGGTCGGAGTAATGACAATGTATCCCCTTATAGTCGCTGATGCGATTATCCAGCAACATACCCTAAAGCCTAAACCTTGCGTCGCTTTTATGGTACCCTTATAGATCCCTTAAATTAAAGGAACCCTTTAAAGAAGCCCTATTCTGAAAATTACGGCCTCTATATATCATCACCGTGGTGTGAGCAGGTGCTCTTCATTGCGCTTCCTTCCGAAGACGCGGAGCCGTGAGGGCCAAAGAAGCTAGGACGGCTTAGGATTTGGTGTTTAGGGTTTAGGGTTTTTTTGGGGGTGTAGGGTACAGGATTCAGGGTTCAGGGTTTAGAATTTAGGGTTGTGGTTCTTTAGGTTCTAAGCGTTGTTATTGTTGGTTCGACGTCTGCTTGATTCCAGTGTTAGCTTCAGATTCTCTCGATTTTCCTTCTATGCAAGCTGGTGAGCCGCCCTCGTCTTCGAAGGACTGCTCTAAACCCCTAAACTACCTTTGGCAGGGCCACCCACAATTCCGCTTAGGGTTCTACTGCTGCTGCTGCTACTGCTACCAATACTGCTGCTGTGACTGCTACTTCGTCTCTTTCATGCTGCCTTTTCTTATCGCGCTTCCGATTGCCGAACTAATTATAGCCGCAGACATCCATGGTACCTGCTATTGTTACTGCTGCTGCTATGCAGGTGCTGCGATTATGGTGCTGCCGCAAGTCCCCCCCCCCCCGAAGAATTCATTTCACCGTGCTTGTGGTCCCTTTTAAAGCGTATTGGTGTTGTGGAACTGGTGCAGTTCGTGGCCAACTCCCAAAGCCCATACCGTTACTTTCAATCCTGAACCCGGGAACAAGAAATCTTAACTCGGCAGGTCTGCACAATAGGGAACGACGTAGCCGCCGTGGCTGCAGATCTTTCTCTAGTATAGTCACGATAGTGGCGGTTCGTTTCCTAACCCCAGCAGGACCAGCATCACTGGCTGCAGGATGTATGACTGGTAGAAACGGTGGCAAGGCAACACCATGAATCGAAAGGTATGTATTAGCACAAAGTGACAAGCTACCGTCGCTGGGTGTTCAGGACATGTTGCCTGCTTTACTCAGGGCTCACGGTCCTCACGCTGCGTATCCGAGCAATTGGGGGGAGAGGAGGAGGGCTCTATATTCTTTCTTAAGGCGCCTATTTTCAATAATCCGAGTATCAAACTTTCATATCCAGACGAGGAAGAACTGCATTCTAGACCATAATCCTGAACAGTGCATCGCTAGATCCCCAAACACCTGAACATCGAAAGCCCGTGCTGTAACCCCGAAGCTCCCTGAAACCGAAGACTATAGGGGCTTCAATAATTACCTCTACGACTAAAGGATAATGGTCCCCAAAATACTACTGCGCCTCAGGTCGAGGGCTGCGTCGACTCGATCTACCTCAGGTAGAGCCTGCAGTAGCCCCTCTAGTAACCCTCCAAAGAACATTCATGGTAACTCTTATACTGCAAAGGAGCCGTTGTAGGAACCCTATAGGAACTTTAGCAGTGAGTCGATGCGCTTTCTTTTCCCTAGTGCTTTTCTTAGGTGTCGAGGGGGAGGGGGTGGGTAATGACGCCGGTTCTAGTTTTTATAGCGTCGGTGCCACTTTGTCAACATCGACGCGCTGTCACAAGCGTTCATGCCTCGTGCGAGCATGCCCAAACCACTTGTGTTTACAGCGCTTCGACACTTGATACTACATGCTGCAGACGGATGTTTGACATTTCTGGCATAAGACCCACTGTCAGCAAGCGGTGATGCCTAGTGCGAGCCTGAAACACTGCTATTTATGTACAGCATTTGCGACTCTCGTGAAACGTAGTGCAACACGATATGGTAGGGTTTACGATTCAAGGGTGCGGGTTCAGGATCACGCGATCAGGATGTATGGTTCAGGAAAGAGGATTCGCATTGGAGTTATGGTAAAACACGAAGACACCGACGGATACGAATGTTACGGTTCGGTTTAGGGAACTACAAACACACACACACACACACACACACTGTCGGCACCACCCACGATCAGTGCCACCGTCGCACCAGCATGATGCACAATCACTACGCAAGGCCAATCAGCCGCACCCGCTACCTTTTTTGCTGTAGCTGATGCTGCATCACTGGTTTTAGCAGATTCTAGCCCCAGTACTGCCGCCGCCACAGCCGCTCCGACGAGCATCGCCACTGCCTGTGTTGAAATTGTACGGTTGACGTCGAATAGAGGTCTACGTCTACGTGTTGTTGTTTTAACGCAGCTATGCTGCTTCGGTTGATGATATAAATCCTGCATTACCCATAATAAGGAAATATACCATAATTCCCATATATTCCCTATTATGGGTAATGCAGGATTTATATCATCAACCGTTGCTTGCTGATTGTTTGTTGGCGGAGCAGCCGGGAGATGGCTGGCCAGTCGAGCTCAGTAGCGCCGTTTTGCTTTGTGAATGAAGCTTGCTTGGAGGATCATGGGACCTAGTAAGTAAGGAAGTACCTTAATTGGGGTTATAAGTAGTTATAAGTATAGTTACCCTAATTATAACCCTAGTTACTAAGTCCCATAATCCTTGAAGTATGCCAAAGTAAGGCGATGGTCGCAATGTCTCGGGTCAGTACGGTATACTACACTTGTGAGCTCTGGAATTTCATTCATACACGAGCTGCACTTGATCTGGCTGGTGACAGGTGACGGCAAGCTGGCGCTGCAGGCTTCTGACGGTTTCTGGTAATTATGCTTAATCCCAACTCCCTAAAAAGCAAAACTGGCTCAGCGTGTTTACAGATGCCTCAGAGCCTGTTTGCAACATACTTACAGCACCAGAGCCACATGTGAGACACAGCTGCGTGCTGCTGACATGTACGGTTCGTGACTGCGAGCTGGCGTCTTCATAGCCATATCCAGACCCCATTGCTTGGCCCGTCCAGAAATGAAAGGAGCCCCGTTAACCCCCTTCGCCCTCGCGATTCAAGAAGGTACCTGAAGGCAGACAGGCCACACTACTTAGCGGCCTAAAATTTGCCAATACTATTTTGGGGCTACTTTGTGTTATTATGGTACAATATCCACCCACAAAGGCCTGTTTCCAAGTGTTAAAGACCCCTATATTACCTTGCATCGCCCATCGCCTGCATCTTGGGCAGGGTTCAGACAGCAGCAGAAGTGAGGCCGGTGCTGCAGCAATGCAAGAGGGTTAGGGTTTACGGATGTGTGGGGTCTCTGGTGTGGGGAAATATGTTCAGGCTGAGCGGCTGTGGTCTCTCAGTTCCTGGCGGGCTTTTGCATGAGAGCTGATGACAGTTCTCGTATCATCCGGAGTCTGTCGGTGTCTTCTGGCTCGAGCGGCAGGCGGGCTGGAGGGTAGCTAGCAGCTAGCACTTCGGTTCTGCTTGGAAGGCCTCCATGCAGGTGGAGCTAGCACGCCGTGGAGAAGCTCTCTTGGGTGTAGCCAAGGACGTCCAGTGCCGGCGGAGGATCTTCGGGATTTGCCTACTTGGGGCGATCCTCTTAACCTTCGGCCTCCTCTTCTTCCCTGAGATCCTAGGAGGCCCGGATGCGGAAAATCCCCTCCAAAGGCAAAGCGCACAGCTCCCGGGGCCGGCGGGGCTCCCGGGTCATCTCAGCGGCGTGAATCTGGGTGGCTGGCTCTGCCTAGAGGATTGGTTCTACTCCGGAGACTCGGGCGTGCACGTCTCTAGTGTGGATGAAGCCGGCCAGGGTGCATGCCTACCACCAGCAGTGACCCAGTTGGACAAGCCTTGGCCTTCCGAAGGCCACTTGACCTACAGGCTGAACCAAACGAAGGGGAGCAAGTTCGCCGTCAAGGCCTTGACAGCTCATCGTCATTCCTTCATTGGTGAAACAGATTTGGCAGCCATCCGGGACCTGGGGCTCAGTGTCGTCAGGGTGCCCATTACTTGGGCTGCCTTTGCGGATGCGCTCGTGCCACTGGATCAGAAGATTTATGGATCTCACAACCCACATAATGAGACCGTCATCGTCCCGGACCCCTTCTACAACGACCGGGCGGCCTTTGCAACGATCCCCCGCGATTGGCTGGCAGAATTGCTGCGGCGTTGCGCGGAGCACGGCTTGAGGGCTCTCATCGACCTCCATGCCTTTCCAGGTGGAGCGGCCTTGGGTACCTACAACGGGGTCTGGCCGGACAATCCGTAGCAGAATCAACAAACTTTGAGTTTTTGTTGTGGTAATCTTCCACCTACAAAAGTTTATGTATCACGTTTAAGCGTTGTAGGGCCGATGATCTCGGAAGCTAAGGACAAGCCCGCCTTCTGGCGGAATCAGACAAAGGTGGGCAATGCGGCATTGACCCAAGTCGGCCTTTGGATCGTCGGCTCCGCTGTGACGTGGTTGGAAGGCCTTGACGCCGAGGCCCAAGCAGGACTCCTTGGCCTGACTGTGATGAATGAGCCCGCCCACCTGAATGCTGGAGCAAAGTTTGCAGAGGAGCAGGAGGTGCTCAAGTGGTTGGCCAATGCCGCACAAATCTTTCGTGTTTCCAAGCTGCCCGGTCAAGGAGTCAAGCTCTACATGCAGATGATTGACACGGCCTTCCAAAATTTCACAGAGACTGTGGTGCCTTGGTTCTTTCAGACTTTCACCGACACGGAGAGGTTGAGTTGGGTGGTCGCCGATCAGCACTGGTACACGGCTTGGGACTCGGGGAACTGTGATATGCGCACGTCAGAGGATGGAGGCCTCACGTGCGACACGCCCGTGGAGGTCATAAGACGTAAGATGCGCTCTTGCGCTAAAGCCTTCTCCTCCAAGATCCTCAGCCGCATCTGGAATGAGTTTGTAAGTCTTAAATTACAGTAAGGGATACACCGACGGCTTAGGGTCGTTTCATCATTCCTGTTACCAAGTCAAGAGTCCGCATAATACAGGGTCCTACATAATTGCCAATACTATTTTGGGGGCTCCTTGCCACAAATATGGTGCAATATGCCCCAAAACCCTATTCTAGCTATTGGTTCTGCCATTACAGAGCCCTGCTCCCTAAACCGTAGACATAGCCCAAGCTTAGCGCAGAAGCCAGAAGTGTTAGTAATACTGTTCCTCTGGGTTCCTCGTAGATGGCTCTTCGAATTATCAGGCACTGTAAATCCCCTTGTAAAAAGCTTAATGGACCCGCCGCAACCACATTATTTTTTGAATGACAGTAGTCTCATAATATATGAACTATTACGGTTATGAGTTATATCTTAAATTCGTGCATTTGTTCCTCTTATTGTTGGAAATACGTAAGTTCATCTGCTAGTGCCTTCATCGCCATCGTTCTTACGACAAACTGCTGTTGTTATTGTTATGAGTAGTACGGCCCCTGTATGAAACCGACGCTTGGGTTCAGCAGGTTCCCTCGTTCGGTGGGCTACCCGTAAAGTAACCCTCAAAGCAACCCATATGGGTGGTTGTCAAGATTAGGGTCCTGTTTTGGATCCCTAGTAGAATCCGGCACCTGAATATTCAGGGTACCCAAAAATTAGAAAGGGACCCTAATTTTGACAACCACCCTTGTAGTAACTCTTACAGGACCCTTCAACGTAACCCTTGCAACACCTGGAATAGTAATCCGTTCATAATGGTAACCCTTATTGCGCAATTCTGCTTGTGCTACCTATGTGTTTGTATTTATACCTGAATTCATAATTATAGTTTTTAAATTTATATACACACGAATAAGGTTCTTCACCCAGTTCGGTGGACTCATGGCCGTGAGTGAGTTCTCAGCGGGCACGGCTGACGAGGCCCGCTTCGCTTGTACCGACCGCTCCGTCCTGACAGTGCAACTCGGAAAATCTAGTGAGGCCTGACCGGGGATATGTAGAACAGGATTTCCTGAAGCGTTCCTTTAAGGGTTTCTTGGGGTGTAGATTTCGTACTTTCTACTATAGTTGTGGTAGCAGGACACCCTCAGGAATGGCACTCGTATTTACGCAGGCCGCTATAGATTGAGCTGAGGATTCTGTCGACCTGGGTTCAATTAAACTGCGAGGGAAAGGGGCTTGCCTATGTACCGGTGCCGACGGCATCAAGGGCTGTAGGGAGCACTGCGAAGCAGGGCGAATGTGGGGCCAAGGTATCTCCAAGAGCAGCTGAGCGCCTGGGATGAGGTTGGCTTACAAGGCAATGAAACATTGAAAACCCCTCTCTGCATTTCCTGGAAGCCCAAGAGACACGATCTCATCAACCAGGTAGCCCTCGAAAGCCGAAGCGATCTATCTACCTGTTGAAGCCTAACAGCCCTGGTAGGCTTCTTCTGGACCTGGCGCATGCCCTACGGTCGGGTTTTCGAGCCCGGTTGGAGTCTTCGCTGGTTGGCAGGGCTCGAAGAGCCTGTCCCGGCTCTCCCTTGTCGAGCTGCTTCATCCTTCATGGTCTAGGACGGCAGAGCCTATTCCATCAATCTGGCATAGCCATAGCTGTGTTAACATAGCTTTACGATGACAGGACGCCCTTGCTCCCGGCGCGACTGCAAGAAGAGCGCATCATATCACGAGTGCTAGAGGCTTCGCAGGCCGTAGTAGGCGTGTCGTGGGTCATGCTAGTACAATAGTTATGCATAGTAGTTACTTAGTAGTTGTGGTGGTTGAGAAGGAGCAGCAGCACTTGCAGCAGTCAGAGAGGAAGAATCCACAGTCTTGTGCTCCGTGTCAGCTTGCCAGGTGCGCTTGCAGGCTGTGATCGGCTAGGCTCTGAGCATCTCTCAGCTGATGTCTCAAGCTGGGGTGTAGACACCCGCGTTCCGGCGGACTTGGCAACTCATCCTGCGTGGCTTACGAGAAAACTAATTAATTAACATCGTGACAGCCTCAGTGGACCTCACAGGCCATTCATCAGGCTCCTGAAAGGTCACAAGCGCCATAGACAGCAGTCTTGTTCTTGTGGCAAGCGAAGCTGGAAACTCGAACAGGAGTTCGTAGAGTATCAAGTGTCAGTATTTGCATATACACATCCACATGATTATGTAAGGTGGCTTTCGCACACCCACGTCGCCCTTTCTGAACAGCGCCCTATACACCTAAGCGAGAGAAACCCGCCTCCTAATTGCCAGTGTATCACCATGGCAAGTCTATCAGAGTATTTGAGCTCCTCACCCCTAACGTGCCTACGATGTACAATGCCCCACTGTTTCTCACACCGGCTTTACACTGTCTCCTCTACAAAGTTCATAGGCCCTCAATGTCCCAACCTCCGTTACGGTACTTTGCGCGCAAGTTCCAGCTTCAACCTCCAGGTTACTGTGCCAACTGCTGGTTACCCCAAGAAGCCTGAACACAACCCTAGAGCTCGAGAACGGAACGTCTAACAAGCCTTCAGCCCCCAATCCTACGGCCCTGGCCCTTTAAACACCCTGGACCTTCAAAGGCCATAAAGTCGTAGCCCTCAAGCCTCCCCAAACCTGAAAACCCAAATGCTCTGAACCCCAAAATCCCAAAAGCTCCTTTTGGGGGGGGGGGGGCTTTGGGACTGAACCCTAAACCTTCTACTTCCCAAGCTGTCCCTTTGATTCCCTTATAGATCCCTTACTTCTATCTATAGATCCCTTTAAAAGAACCTCTGTAGATCCCTTTAAGAGGAACCCCCATTTTTCCCTCGATTCCGAGGCCTCCTCAAGGCGCTGCTGTTCCAGGCGCACACCTGGCTGGGCATCTCCCGTCTCATGCAGGCGCCTTTTAGGGTTTGGGGGGGTTTTAGGGTTTAGAGGGTTTGCGGTCTTTAGGATCTTTGGGGTTAGGAGTTTTGGGTTTAGGCAGGGGTTTTGAAGGGTTCCTTGAAATGGATCTATACGGGTGCAATAAAGTAAGGGTTCTGTAGTAAGGGCCTCATGCAGGAGGCCTTTTTAGTAAGTTTTGTGCAGGGGTTCCTTTAAAGGGATCTGTGAGGTTCCATCGAAAGAAGAAAGGGTCTCATGCAGGTGGCTTTAGGGCCTCTAGGAGTTTTGGGGGGTTTGGGTAGGGGGGTCAATGGTTTGGGCTTCAGGGCCTTTAGGGTTTTGGAGTGAGGGTTTGGGTTCCAGGTTCAGGTTTTATGGGTTTAGGGTTTAGGATATGGGTTGAGGGTTCAAGAGTGTGAGTGTTTTGGTGTAGGGTGACTCCGGATGTTGTGGGGGCCTGTGTTGAAGGGTTTGCAAACGGTTTGTGATGAAGATGTTCCTTCCTTTGTACTCTGTTCTGTTTCGAACTTGGCCTGCTCTATGTTGCTTGTTCTTCCTTTTTGCGGGGAGAGGGGTGGTCGGTAGAGGGTTGAAGACTGCGTAGCGATCTGGATTCAGAGCCGTGATATGGTAGAGGAATTACTGCCTGACTGATCAGTTTCAATTTAGGGTCTCGGGGCACGGGGATGTGTAGGGTACATAGTTTAGGCCAGTTTCGGCTGAATTTTGCAGGGCTGGTAGGGAATAGTAGATGTATTCACCCGTGCTACAACACGTCTTAAATCGGGTAGCCCCAAACCCTAAACCCCAAACCCTAACCCCTAAACCTTGCATTCCAGGCGATTCGCGATCCCAGACTTGCTGGCATGTTCTGGCTAGCTTAGGGTTTAGGGTTTAGGGTCTAGGGAGGAAACACTGAGCAGACTGGCTCAAACTAGTCATAGAAGGTCGACGTATCAAAAAAGGATATGGATTTAGAGGACCCTTGGGCATGGTAAGGTTTTTCCCTACCATTTGGGAGTTTCCGAAAACGAGGGGTACCTTGTTTTGGGATCCTTATAATAAGGATCCTACTTGTTCGGGTACTACATTATAGTACCCCATTTTCGGAAACTCCCATCGACGACGTCAAGGTCCAATAGAATCCTTATGGCAAACCTTAAAGTAACCCTGATGGTAACCCTTATAGTTGAACCCTTAAATTAACCCTCACCCGTGAAGGGCGTCCTCCCTGTTTCAGGCTGTCCATGCTGCTGGTGCGCGGAGCCACGTGGAGTCGGTACGCATGGGCCTTGGCTTCGCTTGAACCCCCAGAGGTCGGAACCCAAGGATTCGAGGCTCGGTTTTAGGGCTTCTGGGTAGGATCTGCAGCTTGTGAGAAATCTCAGAAGGGCCATGGCGGCCCTTGTAAAATGCCACCACTATGACGGAAAGCGTTGAGGTTTGTCGTTCCTGTGGCTTTCTCATGTGTCGTCGTGGGAGTCGCCTGTTTTTGGAGCCAGGCTTTGCTCCCTATACACTGGAGTTCAGGCTTTATCTAGCTAGGAGAGGCTAGCACCTCATATAAAGAGCTTGGGGTATAGTAACCTGAACCAAAATCCTAAACCCCAAACCCTAGCCCCCTACAGACCGTTTTCTACTCATCAAAGCGTTCCTGCTATGAACTCTAGACCGAACCCTTGTAGATCGTGTACAGAAACCGTAACCCTTATAGACCTCTTTACCGAGATATGAAGGCCCTGCCTGCTATGCAGGGTGAAATGTTCTTGCAGGTTGGACCTGTATGCAGATCATCGGCATCCCTGGCTGGAACTTCGTCTTACCGTTGGTTAGTAGGGAATGGAGGAATGGGGCACAATTATAACTACTATTACTACCATTCTTCCATTCCCTACTAACCAACGGTAAGTGGTCTCGGAAATAGATCCGAAATTCTTTCGGAGTTCACACAGGGGCCGTATGCATGCGAATGGGCTTCCTTCAAAATTCAAGGGACCTACAAGGCTTGCATCAGGGTCCATAATGCAGGGGCCTTAATGAATGGGAAAGGGTTTGGGGAGGACGCTAGAGTATCATGATATGAGAGTTTCCGAAAATCAGGGGTACCTTGGGGGGTCCTTATGATAAGGATCTTACTACTTAGGCTACTAGATTGGGGTCCCCTTTTTTGGAAACTCCCATAGAGGGACTCGCAGGTCGCAGGGTGTATGGTTTCTGGGGCGGACTGGAGCAACGTCCATGGCAGGTGAGCTTTGCAAAGTGGCACCTCTCGTCGCACTGCCTGGTGAGGAAGACGAGCACAGGGCTGCAGGCAGAGATATGATGTCTGACATTGTTTCCCAGCCTTATCTGGTATTCACCTTTCGTTGATGTTCCTCAAAGCAGCTGCAGCTGTAGCACGCAGCAGTTGTTGTCGTCGTGTTCCTCTTCGTGTCCTTGCTATATGCAATGTCGATGCATATTGGCAGGCCCCTCTGATTTGGGCGACTGGTCCGAGCGCGGTTCTTGGTTAGATGTCTGCGAGCCACGGATTACAATTCATTACTAAGCATGTATCTTGTAGATGTCCAAGTTTAAGTTTATAGAGTATAAGGTTGGGGTTTAAAGTTTAGGTCTTAGGGCTACCCTAAACCCTGAACTCGAAGTCCTAGAGGTTTCAGTTCAAGCCCTGGCTCGAGTTTCAGATTTTGCCGTGCAAGTAAGGTGCTTGGCGCTGCTTCTGCCACGCATGGGAGACGGCTCCAAGGCAAAGCAGTTAAGCCCGAGTTAAGAGGCTGAGAGTTAGCTGAGATGTTTGTGAGGGCTGAAAGGGATAAGGTGGGGTTGGATTGCCTAGGACATGAGAAGCTTCACACCAGTTTTTTTGGCCGCAATCGCACAGTTCGAACATCTTGAGGAACTTGAGCTTTATGAGAGAGTTGCTTCCTTGCATGGACTCTTCGTCGCGGAGAAGGGGAACATCAAGGATCACGGAACGCAGCAGCCAGCTTCTAATTACCGCATTCAGAGTACTACTTCGGGATATCCGAATTCCAGCAGCAGGAGTCGTTTTAGTCGCCGTCGTCGTGGTAGTGGTAGTGGTAGTGGTCGCACTAGTAGTCGTAGTCGTAGTCGCCGTCGTAGAAGTAGAAGCAGAAGTAGTAGTAGTAGTAGTAGTAGTAGTAGTAGTAGTAGTAGTAGCAGCAGCAGCAGGAGTAGTAGCAGTAGTAGTAGTAGTAGTAGTAGTAGTAGTAGTAGTAGTAGTAGTAGTAGTAGTAGTAGTAGTAGTAGTAGTAGTAGTAGTAGTAGTAGTAGTAGTAGTAGTAGTAGTAGTAGTAGTAGTAGTAGTAGTAGTAGTAGTAGTAGTAGTAGTAGTAGTAGTAGTAGTAGTAGTAGTAGTAGTAGTAGTAGTAGTAGTAGTAGTAGTAGTAGTAGTAGTAGTAGTAGTAGTAGTAGTAGAAGTAGTAGAAGTAGTAGAAGTAGTAGAAGTAGTAGAAGTAGTAGAAGTAGTAGAAGTCGTAGAAGTAGCAGTAGTAGCAGAAGTAGCAGTAGTAGCAGTAGTAGCAGTAGTAGCAGTAGTAGCAGTAGTAGCAGTAGTAGCAGTAGTAGCAGTAGCGATAGCAGTAGCAGTAGCGGTAGCAGTAGCAGTAGCGGTAGCAGTAGCGGTAGCAGTAGCGGTAGCAGTAGCGGTAGCAGTTGCAGTTGCAGTTAGTCGTGTCGCGGTTGTAGTAGGATGCTCGGTGCTGGTGCTGGTGGTGCTGCTGCTGGTGGTAGCAGTAGCAGTAGTGGTAGTGGTAGTGTTAGTAAGGTATTAGCAGTGAGTGAGTGCGAGCTGGCAAGGCAGTGGCAGCTGCTAGCTTGGATGCGGCGCAGCAACTCCTGGCACGATGTCCGTTTATGCAAGGTGTTCGAATAGGCCGGCAGTCATTTGGAGATTTTGGGGTCGCTGCCCTTCGAAATGACCTTCACTCATCCCATGTCAGGCGTGGCGGAGGAGTATCTGAAGCTCCCAGAGGTGCGCCGTTGGCTGGGGCGGTCCAGAAGGCTAAATGTGCAGGGGAGGTACAGGAACAATGATTGACTTTTACGACCCAAGTTCCTGTAAGGGCTCCGAGACTTCTTGCACTCCCCGCCTCGCGGCCTTTACCAGCTGTATACGATACTCAGCTTAGATGACTCGCCGTAAGTGAACCACTTGCAAGGACGTCTCCGCAATCTTTGACGAGGAACAGCCAGGCAGCCTCACCACTGAGCCGTTTGGGTTGTCTGCGATCGTAGGATTTGGGGTTTAGGGGTGAACGGTTTGCGTCTGCAGGCCTTGTCACCGAGACCATCGAGTTGCGTGGGGATCCTGCCACAGACCAAGTCGCTAGGAGGTAGGACATGTAGTCACAATGTAGTTGAATCGGCAGAAGTAGACTGCACGGCAGAGTGCGTACCAAAAGCGGGGTCGTTGCTCTCTGTGACCCAACAACCCATACATTACGACTTCATTAGCAGCTGGCAACTTCGAGACTTGCGCTCAGGTGCCCCCTTCTCAGCAACTCGTTGGAGCCCTTGTGGCCCGTTTGCCGGCTTCCGCCATGCCAACGATGGTGAAGCTGGCACAGTTGCTTTTTGGAGAGTTGGACAGTGGGAACATGCAGAGAGTGAGCAGGTGCAACATCTGATGCCCTCGATGTACGATGCTGGCCCCTCAGATGAGCCCCGACTCTGGGGCGAAAGGCTTGTGATTGGATTCAGGAACAAAACCCACAAAAACAACACAAGGCACTAGTTCACCCAGCATAGCAACACTAATACAGCAAGCCCCACTTCAGGTTGACAACAAGGCGGCAGAGACAGGCGTCGACGCGCTGTACTTGCCGCTTGCCTGCATCCTAACCCGGAGCCCACCAGCCTAACCTCCTGACCCCAACCCACATGGGAGTTTCCGAAACTTAGGGGTACCTTATTTTGGGATCCTTACAATAAGGATCCTACTATTTAAGGTGCTATACTAGGGTCCCCTATTTTTGGAAACTCCCAAATCGAAAACCTGGAAAAGCCAACGCCCAACAACCCAGACACTGCTCGTCTAGTACGAAAATAGCAATTAACAGCTAAACAGACACTTCGACCGGAGCTGCCATACAGGGAACCCGAAGCAACCAAAACCAACCTCAATACTCAGACCATCGTTCCCTAAACCCTAAAGCCAATACCCCAGAGACCATTTAAAACCGATAAGCCTTCAGCCCTCTAACTGTACAAACCCCGTGTGCCCTGGAATATGGCAGCCAAAATGAACAGTAACATAATTCCTTGGGTCTGGGTGTTTTCTTATTATAGGAAGAGAGTGACAGGCACCGAAACTCGGTGAAAATGCTAAGGCCCCTACATCAGATCCTACTAGAGAAAGAACACTTACTCAGCCGAGAAAGGCACCCTTTCAATGAACCCGAGTTAACTATGAAGGCCCCGATATCAAACCCTATAAACCTCCCTTAACCCTAAACCTCAAAGGCCTAAGCCCTAAACCCTCGAACCCTAAACTCCAAAGTCCTGAACCCTAAATCTTAAGCCCCCGTAGCTGGGCCATTGAGAGACTCAGTTCGCCGGGAGCGAAGACCGAGACCCCTTGGGGAATCTAGAAAGGTCGATCCCCTACTTCGGGACCCAATGCCTGTGCTACGGTTGATGATATAAATCCTGCATTACCTTAAGGACCCTAAACTATGGGAATTACGGTATATACCTGAATATGGGTAATGCAGGACTTATATTGTGTTTGGGTAGAAGCGCTGAAGCCAGCAAGAATCCAAAGAATAGTAGGCTCGAAGATCAAAGCAGCAATAAAAACGAAGCCTGTCCCTGAATGAATCACTGGCCGCTATGAGCCCTAAACCCTGGGAGTGGAAGTGAGAACCCTGGCAAAGCCCGCCTTAAGCACTAAACCCCCGAAGCTTAAACCCGACTTTAAGGGTCGTGGGACTTAGGAACCAGGGTTATAGATGAGGTATAACTATATGCATGTACTTACATACAATCCTCAACTAAGGTATTTACGTAGTAAGTCCGATGATCCTCCAAGTGAACCCTAAACCCTAAACCCCTAAACCCTAAATAAACCCTAAACCCGAAACCCTAAACCCCTAAGCCCTAAACCCTGAAACCCTAAAAGCCTTGAGTCGAAAGGATCCTCGAGTCTTCCTGCGAGAAGATGGACGCAGAGGCAGCTGCCAACGTGGTCAGCACCGTGTTCGAAGAGGCCTTTGCCGTGGCAAAACTAGGGTCCTTCTAAAAGGGGAGGGGGGGCACGAGGATACTATTATGGAACAGTGAAGAAGGGGGGCGGGGGTGGGGTGGGGGGGATTAGCGTCTCCTACTGCCCTCGCCAATCGGTTGTGAATTGGTTCCGGGTTGTTGTGTTGGATTTTGAGGGCTACGGTGTCAAGAAGACAGTTGGTTGGAAGCTCACGAGGTAAAGAGACGTGCTGGCAGCCATGCACTGTTGCAACTGAAACACAAGCAATCTCTGCAAGAGCCCCAAGCCAGACGTCTGCACAAAGCATTGCGGACGCCGAAACGCTGACGAAAAGCATTCCCCTTTGGCAAGTACGTGTATCATCGCACCGCTTATATACATGTACGGCAGACCTGTTCCTATTGGCATCTACACGACGCCAGCAACTCCTGAGAGAGTCTCGAGGTGGAAAAGGTCCGCCACAACTCCGTTCGCCAACTCGTCCTGTCATGTATCAAGGCCAGCCCTTTGGTTTTTTGCTTTAGGGATTTTAGGGTTTACCCCCAAACCCTAAGCCATTTGTTGGGGCTGACACGTATCCCTGAACCCGAAAGCCCTTTCCGGGCCGAGGGCTTGGGGATTTCGGGAGCCTATAGGCAGTGAGAGCTGGCATAGAAACTTGAGGATCCCTGAGCTGTCAGGGTGCACAAACAGCCAACATATATATATATATATATATATATATATATATATCTGTATACATGCCTACATACTATATGCAGACATGCCGACATAGGTACATAACATCATCTGTATATATACATATATATGTCTGTATGTATATATATATATATACATACAGATATAGGTATATGTAAATGTATATGGGCATACATACACATATATACATATAAATGGGTGTGTGTATATATATATATATACAGGAAGAAGTCCCGGTGGGCGGCACCCTAAGCCTCTCAGCCACAAGAATTTGCCTCGCTGACACCAGGAGCCTCGACGGCCTTCTGAAGTGCCATTGCCCTAATCCATAACTACCAATCAATCCTAGTCCTTTAAGGTCCGTGATATGCCCGACACTAGGAGAACATCACAAATCCCAAGAATTAAGACCCGCTGATCCCCAGCCGCAATAGAATGCACCTCAAAAGGTCAGCATGCCAAGAGACGATTCGTCTGCCGGTTGCAGCTTTAAGGTTTAGGGCTAGACTTCCGAAGGTAAGATCACACAGTGCCCGGTAGCAGCAAGAAGACTAGGAAGAACTGCAACGCCACCCGTGCTAGAAACCGTTGGGAGTGGAAACTCCCATGATAGTAACCATGCATATAGTGTTGACCATACTAATGATGTGTGTGGTATAATTGGTACTGTTTTGCATGATCGTCATCATCCTCATCATCATCGTCGTCGTCATCATTATCTCCCACATCATCATCATCATCGCCATCGTCGTCATCGTCATCAACATCAACACCACCGTCATGATCACCATGACCATAACGACCCCACCATCACATCATGTTCATCATCCTGTCACCCCTGGCTTGAAAAGCCTTGTTTTTTGCGAAGGTCATGGCTCTCCACCACTTTGATGCAGTGCCCGGCACCTACTTTCGAGTCAAGAGTTCCAGCATCAAGACAGAGGCTGCACACAGTTGTCATGATCTTCTGCTTCGTCCGGTCGTAGCAGTGAACATCTAGCTTTCCAGCACCGCGCTGCTGCTGTTATAGTTGCGAGGATGGAGGAGCTACTCGGCATGGGTCCGGACTTCAACACCTCGATCATGGCTGCACTGCAGGTGGGCCGCAACGCTTCCGTATTCAGGGCCCATCTTCGGAGCTTTGAAGTTCGGGTTTGATTGGAGGGGAAGCTCTTATCGTAGCGTTTAAGGGAAGCCCCTGGAGTGCCGGAGCGCGACATGCCAACAACGCGGAAGCACGTCCAGGTCATGGCCAAGGAGAACTCTCTTCTGCTGATCCCGGGCAACGTTCATTCGAGTGGTGCAGGGCCACTTTGTTCTTCGGTCTTGGCCCTAAAAGGCCTTAATGTAGGGGCCTTAATTGTTGACTCTACTATTTTGGGGGTTATACTTATGGTATAGGTATACTATCACCCGAAATTCTATTAAAATTATCAAGGCTCCTACATTACGGCCTTTCATTGTTCTCGGAAGGCGAGAGGGCAGCATGCTGTAGACTGAACTTATCGGAACAAGAGCGGGGCCACCTGCCTGCTGGCATTGACCTTGCGCTTCCAAGGAAGCTTCTGAATCATTTGACGGCACCTTGTCTGCACCAATGCTTTCTTCCACAGACGTCGACAGACGGGCCCACAAAGCTTTGAGTTGGAAGCGGTGAAAGTAGGAGTAGCTTAGCCCGGCTGTTCTATCCAAGGCTATTTTGACGGAGCCTCAGTGTGCCATGCAGCCTCATCATGGTGCCGGGCACGTGCGCATGCCTACCTTTTGGTAAGCCGTTGCTTTCAAGCGGGGCTCCCAAAAGAGGTGTACAGTGTACAGCAACTTCCATCATGGCTTGGATGCTTGATGAATGGGAACCTCGACTCCGACAGCGGAAGCGCAAGTCTCGACGGCCGGTCAGCCACAAGTGGCTGAAAGAGCCGGTGCCAGACCCAGATCTAGTTGTAGAGACGGAGAAGGCGCGGAATCTTGTTGCAGATGCAAGCCTGGAGGAGTGCTTGGAGGAGCTCGTAAGCACGCGGCAAGATGGACACTTCACAGGACCCACGAAGAAACTCGACAAGCAATGGAGCTCGCTCCTAAGCAGAGCACGTAGGCAGGTTCTGAGCTCGGTCGAGAAGGAGTTCGGTCCATCCGGCAAGCTGCAGCCCCTACACCCCAGCGCTGAAGTGAAGGACGAGTTCTTCACAGCTCGCAGGATCTTCGAATCTACGACGACCTACACATACCATGGAACCAAAGCTGCGAACATCGACTCCATCTCTCGCGTCGGTCTGCTAATGCCTGGAAAGAACGGACATAAAGTCGCAAACGGATCGGCGCATGGCGTGGGGATCTACACAGCCCGGTTGGGCAAGGCAACTTTGTCCCAGGGCTTCTGCGACTCTAACAAGATGTTCGTTTGTGCTGTCTGCGACACCAGTCAACCCCTCGCAGAGGAGGAGACGGCATCCAAGCCACCCTGCTTCCATTGGTGTGGCACATGGGAGTTTCCAAAAGAGGGGTACCTTATTTTGGAGGATCGTACTATCTAGGGCATCGAGGGTACTATATTGGGGTCCCCAATTTGCGGAAACTCCCACATTTGGGTGTGGCACATTGCCCTTCGGTGTCGTTTTGCTGCGGAGTGTTGCGGAGTTTATGCAACGAGGGGTTGAGCAACGTTCCCTTTGCTTGAGCTTCGGACTTAGGGCTAAGGTGATTATATATGTATAGATGCAGACAACTCGCTGCACTGTTTATCCATATATATATGTATATGTATGTAGATATGCGCACATACATCGTTGTATGTACATATATATGTACATATGTATATATGTATATGTATATATATATATATATAGAAATATGTATACACACGGCTTGGGCTTGTTACACAGCTGTTCGCAAGTCCGTGCGAGGCACCTTCTCGTAAACGGACCACGCACGAGCTATGCTGCAGCCCTACATACCTAAACCTGCACGCTGTAGACTACTATAAGGCTTTAGAAATCCCCATATTTTTTTTATAATTATAAATCCCTATAGAACCCATAAATCCCGAAAGTTAAATAACATCCTCGAAAGAGTAGACTCAGTAGAGCAAGTTAAGGCAGAGGCTGGACACCTCATGGAAGCCTTCAGCCACTGTCGTGCCTTGGCTAGGCTTGGGATTCATATGTATATATATATATATACACATATATATATATATATATATAGGCATGTGTATATATATATATATATATATATATATATGCATATGCGTTATATATGTGTGTATATATATATATACACATGTGTATATATATATATATATATATATATGTATATATATATATATATATATATATATATATATGTAAATTACAGGCTTTTCTGGCATCTTATTGCATAAACCATCACGAGTATGATATATGCAAGTGTACTATGGTTTAGTATATCGGATAAGGTCAGGGTTATGATCCCTCAGGGGAGTAGTTCAACCTCGTACATGTGCGTGCGAGCCATGCTGAAGGCAAAGTGACGCTCGCGGACGTAGAGTTCTGAGCTCTCAGGTGCAGACAAAATTCCCAAAGACTGCGACAGCCGTCAACCTCCATCCATCAGCTCGGCGACTGGGAAGACACGACCCTTCGCTAGACTACAGCCTTAGCACGATTTCGGAGAGCTGCGTGCTGCGTAGGACTCGAATATATCGTCACTTGAGTCGATACAGAGGCAAACAGACTTACAACGAGCCGGATAGATGGATAGAGATTCAGCTGGCAGGCTTATGCTCGGATGAACTGCCCACACACTGGCATAAGCACAAGCGTATATACCCTCATCTTCACTTATAGATACAAGACGCATGCGTACATACATTGCATGGCTGCGTACAGGCATATAAGTACATACATACACCTATACATACATCTTTCGACTTTCTTTTCCACACTGCAGAGAGGTCTGCACTTGGCGAGGCTGTTATGCCTATATACATACATAGACGCAACCATATGTGCATACATGTATACATGCGTACTTGCATATATGCCTACCTACAAACAAACATACACAGTTTTTCGTGCATACAGACATACATGCATACTTACTTGCTTACAGACATGCATACATACAAAGCATACATACGCTCATGCCCTCAAACTCTCTACATTACATACGTTGCTTACATGGCATACATTGCACACATTTCACACATCCATTCGCTCCATACGTTACATCCATCCATCTGTCCATCCAGCCAGCCAGCCAGCAAGCCAAGCATCCCTGCAGGCGCACAGACAGACATATGCATGCGTGCATGCATGCATACATACATAATTGCATACATACCTTTATGATTACATATATACATACATTTGCGCATACGCATGCACATGCATATACGCACCCTACACATGCACATGCACATACACATTCACATACGTGTATATATATATATATGTATATATATCTATATATATATATACATATGTATATATATATATATATATACACACACATGTACATATACATATATCCGACAGCGTAGCACGCACCGCCAAGGAGGTATCCGGCCCTTTAGCTTCATGAGTCCATCACATGTGCTGCATCAGCATGTATTTACCAATACTCACTTTGTGCACGCCGTAGTATGATGGCCTTTATAAAATGCAATCTAGGTTTGCGTACTTGTTCGCCTGTTGATGTGTTTGTGCATCTGTGTTGCTCTTGCTCGTCTTTACTGCCTGAGTTCTTGTACACGCACAGTTGACAGCATGACTCTTTGCACACCGCCACGAGCAGCAGAGCCGCTCCAAGTCCATGAGTGTCACTGCTCTGCCTTCCGAAGCCGTGCCATCTAAGAACGTCCAGCGCGAGTCCGACCAAGTCATCCACGTGGGTGATGCCGTGGTGACTTTTGAACAAGGGTGCGTTGTTCCTCTGCCCCTTGTTCGCACTCCAGCTATCGACACACACGCAGCGAGAAACAGAACGAAACCGTATTTTGGTGTTGTGCACATGTGTGTGTCAGAGTGAGATGGATACGGCACGCAGGTTGGAAGAGAGAGACAGAGAGTTCGAGTTTTCATACATGTTCATGAACCAGAGAAAGGGTACCAATTAATATACTGGCCTAAATTTCGGGGGGGTTCCTCATTGTTTGTAAGTGTAGTACATTATCCCCGAAACCCTGTTCTGAGACTCAGGCTTGGAGGGTTTGGCTGCCTCCTGCTGAGAGACCGGATGATTGAATCGAAGCCAAGGAGGTCGAATTGAAAGCCTAACCAGGTGACAATTCATCTCTTTGTTTCCATCATATGTCCGAAGCTGCATAGTGTGGGACTCATGCCGCCAAGTGTCTCCCTTCAAGGTCTCTGTAACCCCCGTTCCGAATGTTTCACAGAAGTGGTCTCCCACTCGTCATCATTCCTAGGAACCCCTGAAACCCTAAACCCTAAACTTTGGATACTGCCCCCACTCAGTAACAGCTGGATATTATTCATAATATAGATATATTAGGCCCTTAATAGTAGCCCTATTTATAGACTGTTAGTGTATGGGGGCAGTATCCAACCTAAACAAGCCCTAAACCCCAAACCCTAAACCCCAAACCCAAACCCTAAACCCCAAACCCTAAACCCCAAACCCTAAACCCTAAACCCTTAAACCGATCTCAGGTTCCTGCTCTCGTGGTCACCAGAGTCCGAAGCCGAGCCTGAGCCGTCCGCACAGACGCCCACGCCCTTTGTGCCAGACGAAAGGCTCGTGTAGGGTTATATGTAGGGTTTAGGGTTTAGGGTTTGGGTTTAGGGTGTAGGGTTTATGGTTCCAAGGACCTTATAATTAGGGCCCTAGACCCCTTTAAGGACCCAATAATAAGGTCCCTGGAAGCCTAGGGTAGGGTTTATGGTTTAGCGTTGCAGGGAGTGCTTTACTATAGGGGCGTAAGTAAGTACGAACGCCATGTTGAGGTTCCTTATTCTAATTGTAGTATAATGGGCCCCAAAACCCCTTTCTAATTGTTGGGGCCCCAATATTACATTCTCATGGGCAAAAGGGAGTTTTTCAGGTGTGCTGGAGACATGGCTCTAGAGCCGGACAAGTGTCCTCGGCCAACCTGTAGCTTGTACACCTCTTACCGCATTACAGTAAAAGCCAGAAAGTTGGAATATGGTTATCCTAAACCCTTCATGGTAAATTATACCCTGAAACCATATTCCAACTTTCTGGAGTTCCCTTTACACCCTGAGGTGCCGATCCGGGCCTTTCGGGGCAGGGTTTAGGTTTTTGGTCTGTCTGTGGAGTCGAATGCATTCCGGATCCCATCCTTCTTATGTCATAAGTGCACGAGAGTGTGAATGAGAACTGCAAGTCAGAGATATGCAGTCATGTGAGCAGACCAGAAAATCAGTGTGTACAAAGGTTTCAGACCAGTACTAGTGCGGGATCCCAAGTGCAACTCATGTCCGTGAGGGCGCACAGGGAGTTTTCACACGCAGTCTTGCACTGTTGATGCGAAGCTAGCACGAGCAGCGATGATCGTAACAACAGTAGACGTAGCAATGGCAGCAAGGACATGCACTTCGGATCAGTACAGCAACATTCAGTAAGACTTTCAAGAGTGGTAGTTACGCATGATAAGTAGCATAGCTGGGCGATGTCAAGAATGCATTCTGTTCGTACTTGGGAGGGTACGCGTAATACTCCCCCAGTTCTTGCAAACAGTCACGCATAGGCATAGGAGTTGAGCAGACGCCCAAAACCATGCGAGATATACAAATAATGTAAACCGACCATCGGAGGGATACCAACAGTCAGCAAATATATATATATATATATATATATATATATAGGTATCAACCCGACTCGTCCCAAAAGTTCCGAAAAATCAATCAGAAGGCTGGTGCTCAAACACCACTGCTGGGATGTTCGCGAGCAGCCTTGGGCATTGCCACAGCAAGTGGGTCGGAGACGCCTTGCCGTGCCACCTGGCGCTTACAGGATCATCACAAGTAGCATCGCCGTTCTGAGTGTCACAAGTAGCCTCACTATTCTGACTACTTAATTGTTCTTGGTGGTGCTGTTGAATGATGTTGTCCCAGTAGCCAGACAGATGTGTGCATCAACTAGCCCAGTGTTGAAAGACCGTCTAAGCCGTCTAAACCTGCGTGCGCATCTAAAACACGTGCAGTTATATCATTTATATCGTTGCACGATATACCTGCTGACTTGTACAGAATACACACACACACACGCACACACAGTTAAGGTTGTACAGAATGCTGCACTGTAAATTCTGCATGCATCACATGCACGACAAGGAGTCAAGTTTACAGATAGCTATGGGTTGCTCCGTTTCCGGCTGCTTGGCCAGAGAGCGATGGAAGTTATGTATCTTAAATGTCGCGACATATCTCTTGTATCTTCTGGCCTTCATGCGTCGGCGTCTACGTACGCCTCTACTTCAGCCGGTGCATTACTAGCCAGGCTTGCAGTAGATCAGGCCAGAGACGGATGATGATCGGCTGATCAAGTTCGGAAACGTCTTGGATCCCCAGAACCCGCGACAAGGCACGGCCACTGGCATGGCATGGCATGTTGGTCGTTCAGATCTTTCCAGGTCAGAGAGTCATCTTCCAGTGTGCCAAGCATGTTGGCTGCATGGTCCAATCTTAAGTGCCTGCAGGTCGAACAGTCTGGATGGTATCACATCCTTTCGAAGGACGGACCAGAAGCGAGACCCAGATGCAAGCGGAAAGTGCCTGAGTCGTCGCTGCTTGCTGCCTGCTGCTCAGGTCCTAAGACGCTGCCTAAACATGCTTAAACCTGAAGCCCTAAACATTCCCCTGGTTGACCCGTGAAATCCACCAAGCCGATGAGGGAGGGAAAGCTACTTGCGACTACTATGGCTGGAGCTGGCGATATCCCAACTCGCATACGTCTTCATGTAAGCTCCGTCAATCAAGTCCAAGATGACGTAGGCAGGTGATAGTCAAGATGTGCTGTGATATTAAAGCGCATACCTGGCGGCAAGGAAATCCGGATGAAGCGGAGAATGATGCAGCGCCGGTCCGACATCCGCCGAAGACGAGAACGGCAATGGCACGATTATCATCGACTAAGCAAGTTCGACCCAACAACGGGCAGCGTCAGCGTCCAAGGCTATGGCTCCAGGTTTAACGATTTAACGGTCTATGAGGCCTGAGAGCCGTTTGGGGCACTTCCAAGTTTGCTCGGAAATTTCGGTCAGGAACTGACCAGTGCTTCAGTTTAGGGTGCTGTTGACTGATGCAGTACAGCTGCTACAGTCAGAGACAGCGATTGTACAGTGAGCCTCTTACGAACAAAACGGAGGCAGGCTTTGTGCCGGTTTGCCATGCTCATTCCAGCAGCCTATCCCTAAACCTCAAACCAGCACACCTACACCCCACTGCAATGTTTGTCTGTTGTTCCGCCTCCCAGGAACCGCTCTGATCCCGACCCGGCTGATCCTTCCGATCGTAAGGCGCAAAAGAGCTTTGCCACGTCAATAACTCGGAATCGCCAGGGTTTAGGGTTCAGGGTAATGCGGTACGGTACGGGAGATTCCGTGAACACCCACTGTCAGGTTCTTGCGGCCACCGTCGCGGTTGGGCACCTCTTTACTGTGAACGACTCCTCCATCGGCGTGGTGGTGAAGAGGTCGGCATATAAAGCTGGAAGTATCAGGATTTGTTGGCAAACGTTGTGAAGGCTTGATGGGCACAGGTTAAGGGCTGTGCATGATCTGCTAAATTATATATACACGTATGTATATATATATATATACACACACACGCATACTTCCCCTCCCTCCATCCAGCCATCCATCCATCGCGACCAGCGTGCTTGCAAGGTACTTCTCCCAGCTCTTCGGAACCTTCCTGCTACGCATTGGGACGTCGACAGAGGGCTTGAGTGCGAGGGCCCCAGCATATGAATCTGGTGCAAGATGATTGCAACCCCGACTTCCTGCATTGAACGGACCGCAGAGGGACTCTGCCGTCGCATCCAAAGCACCAGACTGAACACTAAACCCGGAAACCCTGCATCCTAAACCCTGAACCCTACAGATCCTGAGCCCTAACGCCTGTTGAAAGCTAGACCTTGGCCCCTGAACTACACCACACACTCTAAACCTGACACCACCAGGGCCCGACGGGATCCGATGCCTTGGCAAGGCCCAGCAGGCGGCGGCAACCTTCATGAACTTCCTCCATGCCAGTTCCAACGATTCGATGGCCATGGTCCCTCGGCCCAGTTGCAGGAAGAGGGTTTCGTGGTTCTTGGGCTCAGTGGGGATCCGCGAAGCTCCATCTCCCTTAAAACGTTTTCACGGCTTCTCGGCTGTAGGCGAAAAGGCTCCTATCGTTCTGCAAGTCCACGAGTGGACACCAGGACGAGGGCTTTTAAGTTCCAGGCCCAGCGGTTTTTGGGACTGCACCTTCTAACCAAACGTGAAAAATCAGGATGAGTCTACTGTATACACCTGGTAATATGACCGATGCATATCGTCTGGAAGATGCTGCAGTGCTGCCATCGTGGGTTCGTTCGCATACACGGTGGCCTTGCAGTTTGTGGTGTCCTAAAACCTCACAGCCTGAATACAGGAGGATCTAGAAAGTAGATCCCCTAATCTGGGGCCCTATACTACTAAGGGTACTTTATGGGAACCCCCATTAAGGAAGCCTAAGTCCCAGCCTTACGCTACAGTCTCGACCACCTGCAACCCGAGAACCGCCTCAACCCTCAGGACCCTTGAGCCCTAAACCCCGGTAAACCTGAGACTCTAAGGATTTCTTTAACGGTTTAGGGTTTAGGGTTTAACCTCAACCTTGAAACCATCAAAAAAGCCTACAGCCTGAACCCTAAAACTCAATCCCCGAACCCGGAAAACCCCAAGCCCTAAACCCTAAACCTGAACCCAGAGAATCGACCGGTAGTGCATTCCTCGTCTGAGGCGGGCGGAGTGAAAGGCCATTGAACTTAAAAAAGAAAACATGAACCTAAAAGCCGCCTCAGACGAAGCTTGCCCCCAAGCAGGCAGAAAGCCCTAAAGTCCCACAGGCACTGGAAGGGAATCGACTCGCCAAAGCAGGGCACTAAGCTTTGGTCTTGTATTCTATTAATATACATACCCATATATATATATATATATATATATGTATATACATATATATATATACATATATATATATATGTATACAAGGCTATGTGAGTGTGTGTATATATAGATATATAGTTTATGTATGTATATATGTGTGTATGTACATGTACACATAGACAGGGTTAAGGGCGTAAGGCATAGGGTGTCGAGATACAGGCGTAGGCTGCCGGATGTTTTATAATTGAAGAGAGGGAGTGGGGTTCGGGAGTGGTCCTTTTTGGGAGGATCCTTCATTCTAGTGTGGATTTTGTAATTTAAGATTGAGAGTGTGCTCTTCGTGGGGTTCAAGCCAACATCTTTGCGACTTTGGGCATGATGTAAAAGCCATGGATTACTGTGGAGGCTTGGTCTGTTGTGTCTACGGTTGTAAGTGTAGGGTTTGGGGCGTCAGGTTCGCTTCAGTTGCTTCGATGTAATTAATGTGTTTTTCAGACACTACGCCTTGAATCGTCAAGCCAAGACGGGCCAGAGCGCAAGGCACCGGGACTTGGGGTGAAAGAGGGCTCACCGGAGGATGCTGCGTCAACTTGAGATGCTTCGGCGCAACTCTGGCTTGCAATCTAGTGGCCAACGGAAGTATCCACAGCAGCTATCAGCTATCAACTCAGCCTGAAATACGGCCATTACAGTCACGAAGACCATTGATCATACGAATACTTGGCTGGGCCGATCCTCGCAAGCAGGAAGTCGAGTCTACCTGGCAACTAGCACGGTTTGGCAGACTCTGGGGGCCTAGGCCCTAGGGCCTAAGGCATAAGTGATGTCCTGGCGGGCAGGGACTGTGGCTGTTGCTGCGACATTGCCTGGCAACGAGCAGGCTCTTGCCTGTTCTCTTCGAACTCTTGTGTCGGAAAATTGTTGCATGGCATGTGCTTTTCCGCAAGTTTCGTAAGTTCCTGACTGCTTGATGAATTTCCGGTTTTCCTGGTTCCTTTCTGGGGTTCATATTTAGAATTCTATAAGGTAATCCCAAAAAGGAACTACTATAGGGTATTGCACATATAACTCAAGCCCAGCTAAGCCGCAGCCGAGGTGACGAAGGAGTTTTACGATGAGGTCGTTTGTGAGCTGGCCTCTCTCTACTGCCGACACCAGCCGAGGCCGCAGAACTACTCTAGGGCCCAAAAATATTAGACTAGGGTTCCTTGAAGGGGATCTATAGGGGTTACTACAAGGGATGCTGTATGGGTGCCACATTATAGGGGCCTCAAAAGAACAAGACAGAGTGTTGGAGCCCATTATACTATCGTTATAATAAGGAACTATATATCCCCCAAAGATTGCATAGGTAATCATTGAGGCCCATACCTATATTACCCGGCGATATGGTGTATCAACACTTTGAGTCTACGTTTGGTTGCTTGCATTTTGCACGGTAGTGTCTTTGCAGGGCTGTTGACGAAAGATTATACCTCTGCTGGCCTTTCGGAGGCGGCGTGAGACGCTTCTTCAGTTCATGCAGCCGTTCCAGGCTTCGGTAGATTCAGAACTTTTGCTTCGTGACGTCGCTGGGAGACAAGTGCGATTTGCCGTGCTCGCAAGAAGGCAAGCAAGAAAGTTGGTCACCGTGTTGTTGCCACGACCACAATGTGATCGCCTGAGTTTGTCACACTCTATGCGCGAACAAAACACCGACCCAATGAGAGTTCAGTTTTGGAGTGCAGACCGAGGTCGCAGCTCATGCTCAGCAGCTTGGACGTGGCGATGAGTATGGAAGCAACGAAAACCATTCTTGGAGGTGCACATGCATTTACTTGCGGTATAATTCATGCGTGCATGCATGCATGCATACACATGCACACGCATGTGCATCTATGTGTGTATGTCTTTACACCTGTTGGCATTGTAATTGGATCTTTGGCAGTTTGCATCTGTGCACAGTCGGACATAGTGATTTACACGAATTTACACGTGGTTACCTTCAGATATCTTCATCTGAGCCGTGGGTAGACATTCTGTTCAGACGTGCCTGCATCTCTGGACTCTACATCCGATCGAGCCTACGGTTCAGGCATCATGGAAGCCATCGCCGATGTCGATGCTGTTGCCTGGAACCTACAACCAACAAGCTTAGATTTGGACTTCACGAGATTTACCAGTTCATGCAGCCGACAAGATGGACGGTCTCAGTGAGATTCGTGCTTAGCCCCAGGGCAGAAAAGCGCTTGAGGTTCGGAAGCAAGCCGTGTCCGAACCTTACACAATGCACAGGGCATTTGAAGTGGATGTTACATGAACGGCAGAGTAGTAATTAGTAGAATGAGTGATGATGGTAACGATACTTGCAACCATGGTAACCAGAGTAATTAACAACGATAGAAGTAGTATTAGCTTGTGGCCGCTGTAAAATGATGGACTGGTTTCAGCCACAAAAGCCCGTTTCTGATTTTCGATATGGTCAACGCCTACAACTTTCAAGCACACAGCACTGGCACTGAAGCCTAACTTCAAAGCCTCGTACATATAAAAAGCTCAAAGCGCTGAACCACACAAACCTATCTGCCTAAAGCCTCTTTATACCCGTTGACCCCTTTAATACCCTAACACCCCAAAGCCCCAAACCCTAAAACCCTGATGAAAACCCCGAACCCTACAGCCCTCAACCCGAAAGCCCTAAACCTATAAACCCCCAAGCAAAAAGCCTAAAGCCCTGAACCCTGGTACTCGGGCTCAAAACAAAGGCGAGGACTTGGGAATGTCGCGTCGCTTTGGCATCACAGCTCCCAGGCGACCGGGTCTACTGAGTCTACGGCTCAGGGTATACAGGTTCAGAGCTTTTGGGGCTTTGAGTTCACGGTTTAGGTCTAGGGAAGGATTTGGGGGTTCAGGGCTTCGGGTTTAGGGGTTCAGGGCAGAAGGGTTTAGGGCCTTTCGGGGTAGAGCTTAGGGTCAAAGGGCCTAGGGTTCATTGTGCTCGGGTTCAGGGTGAATCTCTGGATTGCAATGCCCAGAACTTAAATTTAGGGCTTCGGGATCTGGCGGGAGGAAAGGAGCCTACGGTTTAGGGTACTATACAAGGGTCCCCCATTTTCGGAAACTCCCATCTAGCGGATTAGCGAGTTTGGAATTTTCAGGATTCAGGGCCTGAGGCGTTCAGGGTTTTGGGGCACTGAAATTCGACTGTTTCCAGAAGGTTGTGTGTGAAAAGTTGATGCTCGTACTCCCATGTCCCTTTAAGCTTTTAGCATAATATACCCCGAAGCCCTACTCTAAGTAGTAAGGTCACATAATCGACCCTATACAGCCTGTATGAACCGTTATAAAGACCTTAAAGGAACCTTAGTCTACTTATTAAGGCCCCTGTATTAGGCATCTCTGCTTTGGGCGGGTCCCTTTGGAGGAGTCCCCGCTCCGGAAACTTCGTCGTCCAAGCCTCTACTTGAAGGATCATGGGACTTAACGGTTTAGGGTTTAGGGTTTAGGGACTTAGTAAGTAAGGTTATAAGTACCTTAACTGGGGTTAAGTAGTTATAAAATACAGTTACCCTAATTATAACCCTAGTTACTAAGTCCCATGATCCTTTAAGTAGCTTGTACTGAAACAAAGCAAGTGAGGCTTTTTGGGTCTAGGGTTTGGGGTTCATGTCTTCGGGTTTCATGGTTTCCCGGATTAGGGCTTGAGGTTTACGGTTGAGACTTTGTCTGACCGCCCCCGTGAGGGTTCTGCCAGAAGAAACAGTTGGGGCGACTCCCAACGCTTCCCCGCGGCACAGGAGTCTGCTCACCTGGCGGATGATGAGGCGATCGAGCAGGCAGGTAGGTCAGGATTTGTGGGGGGGTTCGGCTTTCATGTCCGAATGAGCTGGGATGTTGGCTTTATTTAGAATTTACAGGTCAGGAAGCAATGCCCGGGTATTGGATGCTCCTGGTGCTGACTACCTGTGCATACTGTGCTGTCGAAGGTCTTGACGAGCATGTGTGGCTTGCTGAGTGACGAGGCCGCGGGACAATTGCAAATTGAGGTTTGGAGGGTTAGCATTAGTATTGCAGGATTACTATGTTTGTCATGACATTTGTTATTATCCTTCTTGTTACCGTGATTGTTGGTACTATGATCATCTTTCCCATTCCAGTTCTTCCTATTAAAACTCTGAACCAAGAACCCTAAACCCCTAAACCCTGAACCCTCAAACCCTAAACCCTAGAGTCCTACGGTTGATTATATATAAATCCTGCATTACAGGAATATACCATAATGATTCCCATAGTCTAGGGACCTTAAGGTAATGCAGGATTTATATCATCAACCGTAGCAGCCCTTCTTCATAAGCCCTGAACTTCCCAAGCTTCGCAAGGCATCTGCCGTCCGAAGGGAAGCGGTCGGAACCCCAGGACCAAACCAGCGTTCCGAGGATCTAGGTTTAGGGTTTAATGTTCAAGGTTTAGGTTTGGTTGGTTGGTTGGTTCAGGATTTAGGTTTAGAGTTCAGATTTTTTGGCTTTAGGATTGAAGGTTCGAGTAGTTTTACTGTGGTGGGGTAACTTCTCGTGATGATCTGGGGCATGTTGAGTGCAAGTAGATTCCGACTGGGCAAGTGTCAGTTGGCGGCCTTGCATATGCGTTGTCAATCGTTCGTTTTCAAGCATCCTGCTTTGCCAGTTGTTCATTTGCAAGCATCCGCCATCAGTTGTAACCATAGAGTGCATCACTACCACTGTTTGTCAATGTGTGTTATTGCTACTGTTACAGCGATCAGAAGTAGCATTTCTTTGGCTGCACACTTACTGTTCCAACCGTGACCGCAAAGACTTGCTTCGACAGGTCGTGGCTATACAGCGGGCGTGCCAGGCCAGCTGATTTCAACGTTTCTTCCGGATTGCCATGCCGAGGGCAATCGTGTCTTCTCATTTGCATGCCTACGATCTGCTTCTCTGGCCACAGTGCCCTGAACCCTGAACCTAATCTCCATCACTCAGCATCCCAAAACCTAGTTAGACCCCCCAAAGTAGGTAAAATAATGGCCCAAAACCTATAAAGGGCTATTGTTCTACATACTTTTGGGGTCCAGGTAATTACCCGTGAGGTGGCCCTGCCGACACACTGGCGCAGGGAGATTTTGCGCTGCAGCTCCCACCACCTGCTGGGATCCTAGAGAGCTGCTCGCGCAGTGCTCACCAGACTCAGAGTGAATATAGGGATCTGACAAAATCATTCGGAATGTTATCCCCTTCCAGGCAGTGATTATAAGTTCACGTTCATCAAAAAAATTGAGTATGGGACACATGATTCGGGTAGGGTTTGGGGTGTCAGGACCTTTTCGGCTTTAAGGGAATCGAGTCAACTTCCTTGATCTGTTGCCTGGTGCAACATCCGTCTTGCATGGTGGAAGTATCTGGCTTCAGACTTGGCTCTCATCCGTGAAGCGTTTTTGAACTGCCCCTGCCAGTCTGAGGACAGGGCTTCTGGATGCTGAGGACAGCATTCTGAAGTCGTCATTCTTGTCCCTGACTGACTAGAACAGGTCCTGCTGATGCCGGCGAGGTGTGCATACTCGTCCCATATCGTCCCCGCCTATCAGTAGGAGTGATACATGTAGGAGCAGTTGCTGCTGCTACTCCTCAGATGCCGAGCCTACTACGATTATGTTTCGTCTACCCGCTGCTACGCTACTACCACCACTGCTACTATCATCACCACCACCACCACCACCACCAGCACCACCAGCACCACCACCACCACCAGCACCACCACCACCACCACTACCACCACCACCACCACCACCACCACCACCACCACCACCACCACTGCCACAACCACCACCACCACCACCACTACCACCACCACAATCACGGCAACGACGACTATCGCTAGCGCTATGCTTGCCATTTTCTGCTCCTCCTACTCCTGCTCCTGCCGCCGTAAGTGATGTTGCTGAGTCGTGGATGATGGTCACTCCTTGCCATCATTCTCATCGCATTCCGTCGGCCGAGCTATCTTTCGTGTTTTGAACCTATTTGAAGAACCAAACTGCGCCCGAACTACCATTGGAGAAACTCGAACAGCACTTACACTGCATGGAGGACAACTACAGTTATGTATGAGGGGACAAGGAGAGTGCACGTACATACTACACAGATGCTAAACATGCATAGAAGCTAGAGCATCGCAAGTGGATGATGATGATGACGATTCATTTCAGGAAGCCTCGGTCAAACTCGCCATCGCAGGTCGTGCTGTCAAATCGAATCCCCTAGATAAAAGCAGTGATAAACCCAATCGAAGCCCTGAGGAACTGCAACAAGGCCGCATAAAGTCTCTCCAACACCTATAGTACTCCTATAACCCGAAAACGTTACTTAAAGAAGGACAGCTACAAAGTCTTACAGACACACTGTAGAAAGCCGTTAACACCGTATAATAAAGACCGTATATTTTCTATGCCTAAAGCCCTGTATAACCCTGTAAATAGCATAAATACCCTGTAAACCCCTGTACATGACCCTACCCCTATAAATCTACAGAATGCAGGATACCTCTCAAGTCCCTCTAGAGATCTCGAGCATCCATAAAGCCACACCTCTAAAAGCCTAGAATCCTCTAAAGTTCGTGTTTGCACGTAATCCCCCCTAGACCTTGTGCCCTGAACTGTATAAATCCCAACCCAGAGAGCCCAATACCCCTTAATTAAGGAATGAAAGTCGCTAGACTGCTCAAGCGGATCGTCACTGCAGCAAGGCGAGGGTTCGAGCTAAGCGGGCAGGGCTAAGCACTGCAACGGCTCTACTGTTTTCGCCTCGAGCTGAACATACTGCAAAGTCCACTCCTTCAGAGTGTGATGAATGCATGCCAAGTGATAGCACTTGCATGACCGCCCATCCCCAAACAATTTCCGGATCCTTTCATAACTCACCAGTAGCACTTCTAGGATTTTCCAGCGGTAGCACACCTTTGGATTTCCGTTTCCTAGCAGACTGCATCTCTGGATCCTCCACAATACGCCAGCTGTAACGCATCCGATAATACAGCTCCAGCTCTCGGTTGGGGCCGCTCTTGGTCAGAGCGTTCGCCAGCTGGGCTTCCGAATGAACCCAGCGAATGTGCACCTGCGTCCTCGCTTGAGCTTCCTTTAATCCCAGTAGCTCAATATTGCTCTTCTTTTCTGCTCCCTTGATCACCAGGACCTCGGTTTGAAGCTTATCAAAGACGTTCCTCGAATCTGTAACAAGTCCTCCCTGAATTCGTAGTACTGCGGCATCTGGATTCCGCACGTCAATCCCACCGTACAAGATCTCACTCCACTGGTACCGCGCGTAGTACAGCTGATCCTCACCGTTAATGGCGGCTTGTACCTCAGCTGCTCCCGGGCTCCTGCACGTCCTGTCAATCTTAGTGCTGTGCCAGCTAATGGGTGAAATGGCACCCATCTCACCATGGAACAACGCCTCCGGTCCTATGCCTATGAAGATCCCTTGGGTGCTTCCTCCGTCGGGACGGTTCCCATCAGACGCATCCACCCAAGCATATAAGGCCAAAGTCACATGTGTATCAAACGCATGAATCTTCAGCTTGTGTTCCCCTCTGGCTTTCGTGTGGTGCAACAGTAAATTAGCTCGCAGCACAGTACTCACAGTACCTTTACTCACTTCAGATAACAAGAGTCCCACTTCAGCTGAAACATGTGGCGCCACCTGCTGAGCATGCCAGCTGAGTCCTCCGAGCAACGTCCGAAGTTGCGATCGCTCCCGTTCTGTGACGGGTGCTTCCTTGTCCTTTCGGCGCGAAGAGCTCAGTCCAATCTCATGCAAACCTTCCAAATAGTGTGGTTGGGACAACTCAAAGCCATCTGAGACCTTAGTCACTTGCACACCACATTGTACAAAAGTGTCGTTCTCCCAATCACTCCACTTGAAGCGTTGCTGTATGGCCTGAATCATTTTCTGCCACTCAACATCTTCAGCGTCACCACTGAACAGGAAATCATCAACATGCCCCGATATCATTCCTCTAAGCTGGCCATCTTTGCGCCACACCCAAGCACAAGAATCCGACCAAAGACGCTCCATACCCAGTCCTTCCAGAAACTCTGAGACAGTCCTGTACCACTCAAGGGGTGCATCCACAAGCCCGTAGCATGCCCGCTTCAACCGTGTAATGCTTCCTACCGGAATGTTCATAGCTTCGCAGATTTCCGGAGTGGGTGTGCAGTATAAAGTGTCTTTGTACTCCCGTCCTTGGAGGAATGCGCCAGACACATCCCCTTTTTGTATGCGCCATCGTCGATTGGCCGTGATTTGAAGTTGAAACTGGCGCGTTTGCCGAGTCATGACAGGAGCGGTCGTTGCGCGGTGTTCATACGAAGGGTCTTGGTATCCTAAAAGAACGGCACGTGCTTTCGCTTTCCGTTCCCCGGTGTCCTTGAGTTTCCACGTGAGTATCCATCGCATGCCTATTGCTTGCTCCCGCGAGGGCTGAAGGTGTTCCGGGATACATTCAAACGCCTTAGCCGCAACAAAGTTACGAACTTCAACTCCCTTGGCTTCACGGAACTGGGCCTTTTCTTCAGGATTCAATCGTTTCTCACAAACTTCCACGGCACGACGCTTCATGGCCCCAACGAAATAACTGGACATGTTATTCAACATCTGTGCCTGTCCTCTCTTGCTGTCGGGCATATCAATCTCTATGGACACTGCCGCTGTCTCATCTGTCCAGTAACTCACGTCCTGAGCCATCCACGCTTCGTGAGGTACCTCGTCCCACCAAGGAGCCGCCTTAGGAAAGTTCTCGGGTCCCATACAGGCTGCCTCCTGGCTCACATGAGCTGCCTGCACACGACGAGAGCTGGTCGCTGGCTCGCGCACCTCCTCCTCGGTCTCCATAAGTTCGGGTTCCTCAGCGGGGCCCGGCCTCTTGCGGGTCAATCGGACCCGTCGTGGAGGAGCCTCGCATTCCACATCCTGGGCTCGATGCCACTCTTCGACCTCAGGCTTTTCTCCTGAGATGTCCTGATACTGGTTGCCGCCTATTTCCTCGGCCACCTTAGTGAAGCTCCATGGAGCTTGCTTGTCCTCGGCCAATGTCTCCAGGAGTTCCTCGCGAGGTGAGGCACGACGTAGCTGCTCCGGGCAACACTTGAGGAGGTTGCGGCCTCGGACCAACCACACTGAACTCCCTGGCTTAAGTGTCCCGTCTGCCTCTCGTGCAGTTTCCACAGCCAAAATACGCGCTGGGCCCAAGAACCGCCCTTTCTTAGAGCTGGGGCTCTTCTTAGATTGTCCCGACTCTTGAGTCCTCCAAAAGAACACCAGCTCACCGGGAGAGAAATCCAGCTTTGGCTTGTGTCTTGAGTTTGCTGCCCTCACCAAGCGCTGTTGCGCCTGCCACCGAGCATGCGCCTGCTCGGCTTCTGACCGGAGCTTTGTAGCCCGCTCAAACTCCCCCGAAGCGTTTTCCACAAGCAGCTCGGGCGGCAACTCATGAAGCGTATCCAACACTCTACCGGTTTCGTCAGGACTTCTTCCTAGCGCATGTTGCACGGGACTGAAACCACGTATGATATCTCTTTGATTAAATGTGCGCACGGCAGTGGAAAGGGCCTCATCCAAGCTGATGTCTGCGTCACACGCACACAACTTGGCCATCACCTCTTTGAGTCCCTTAATTGCATTCTCGCAAGCCCCTATCTTCCAGTGCGCTTCTCCCGGAACTATGTCTAAAAAGATCCCATGCTTGTCACAGTAGTCAGCAACAAGTTGACTTCGGAATGCGCCTGCCGGATCTAAACGCAAAGTTCTAGGATGTCCGAAAATCTGACACCATCCTTCTTGAAAGTACCTCAAACATGCCATGGCTCCCGGCGCCTGTTTGAGTCCTCGGGTGAGGATGCGTGCCGATCGGAAACGGGAACCTTCATCCAAGATCACTAAAAACTGCACATGCTCCTTAGTTGCGGGGTGCTGGAAGTGCCCTACGTCCGCTGACACAGTGGCCCATTTGGGGGGTAGTGGCTCCAGCGAGGCCACATGTCGGCTTGTCACTTTGCTCCTTTCAGCACACACGGAACAAGTGAATCGCTCAGCTTCCTGTAGGACTTCCGCGGGAGCGCCCCGCCGCTTCAAGGCATCTATCATATGCTTTTTGCTACTGTGTCCCGTGGCTGAGTGGAGGAGGTACAGTTGTTTCCGTATCTTTTCCAAGCGTGCCTGTTCTCCGGGGTTCCTGGTTGAGGGACTGGAGCCTTCGGTAGTCGGGTAGGCTTCATGGTGGGCCTCGTGAACCTGGGCTTGAGGTCTTCGCCTAGGAAGTTTAAACCCTCCTTTACGTAGTTCATCCCTCTGCGCCTCAGTCAAGAACTCAACCCCTCGACTGGTGTACGCCGTAAGTGTCACTCGGTCTCCAGTCCATCCCTGAGGCCCATGCCACGCCTTCCCATCAAACCGGTGGAAACAATGATGAATATTCAAGTTCTGTCCCACAATGCTCCTACCATCAGGAAGTTTCTGAACAACCCTTTTTGAAATCTCAACATCCGGATCTTCAACCCACAACTCTCCCTGTTGATACGAACCGAAACCACAAATCAAGCTCAACTCCTGGGCATGATTATGCACATCTCGGTGAATCGGGAGTCGCTGGTTGCGGTTGATGGTGAAGGAGGACCAATGGTCTCCCTCCCCTGTTTTGCTCCGGATAACGGCGTTGAGGTACCTAACGGTTTCGGGAAACTGCTTACTCACGACCGTGTTTCCGTACATGGCCCCATGACTGAAAGCACCGAAAGTTTGATACTCAGTGGCCTTACCTTGCACCATCTCTCGTTTCCCCTTTAAGCCACTTCTTGGGAACGCGAGAAGAAATGCTTCGCACGTTTCGTAAGAGTACTGTTCCGTAGTTCGCAACTGTCGTGCCCATTCCTCGATCTGTTTCTTATCCTCCTCTGAGTACAACCCTGCCTCACTCCCACAAGACCTCTCAGCCCCACCTGTCCCTGAAGAACCCTGTACCAAATCCTCCCACATCCCCCAATTTTTAGGTCGAGGTTCGGGGTTCACCTTGGCTTCTTCGGGATCTGGGTTTTCGCGGGGGACAACGCTTCGTCCTAGGAGGCAGGCCGCACAGGTCCTAGGGTTGCTGGGCCACGCCAAATCTCCACACACGCACAACTCTCCCCGTCCAAACTGTTCGGGCAGTCCCGACTTGCCTGCGCATTCTTGTTGCACAGCCTGGTAGCTCAGCTCCTGAGTCAGGAGCCGAACGGCGCGTTTTGCGTACTCGGGAGTGTACTCTAGCTGCGAGGTTGCTTCTTCTCGTTCCTTGCTAGAGTGCTGGTACCTGGGGTCGCACCTACACGGGAGGTTCATGTGCTGGGCCAACCTAGCATGCGTCGTGAGAATCTTCCAACCCTTACGCTGCAACCTACCGTCAACTCCTCGGCAGTTCACGCTACACCCTTTTGTCACGGCACTATGCAACTGGTGTCTACTCTGAAACTTCTGAATGGCCGGAAGTCTCCACGCTTGACTACATTCACTCCACTCCCAAACAACATGTGCTCCCTGCTGGATGGCTGCCTCTGCTACACAAAGGCCTCCAATGTACACTCGCTGCGCCTGCTGTCGTTTTTCCTTCAACATCTTCTGTTGTGCCTCAGTCTTGCCATTCATATTCTGGAGTGGCGAAAAAGGACTGCTGGGTGTGCGGATCCAGATCACCTGAGGTCGCTCCAACCGTAATCTCTCCAAAGCCAGGCGGACTCCTGGTGTACTTCCTAGATCCACACCGTTCCACTCCGCACACCTAACAGCCGCCTCAGGACTGCCTGTCTCCTCACAGGCGGTTGTCGCGAGCAAACTCTGAGGCTCACAACCGAGCTCCATCAGCACTGGTCGACCCCCACTTACAAGACCCTGAAAAGCCCTAGGAGCTAGGTTCCAGGCCGCCTCTTCCAGCTGGGTAGCTACACTCACACTCAGCTGACGACGATTATCCTGTGATCGGGGGCTGATTACCTTCATGTCTGATGGCCTCGACTGGTCCTCGGAAGACGCTATGCTCACAGGGCTTGGTCGTCCTGTGAGCTCACCACGGAGAACTCGCTGCGACCCTCCTTCTTGCGAGGGCGTTCCTCGCGCATGTTCGCAACCTCCTCCTTGAGCTCGGCCACGGTTTGGACCAAGGTCTGGAGCACCTCCGTCTTGATGGATGTTTCGCTGGACACACTCGGCGCTGACTGGGTCACCGTCTTCTTGTATCCGGACCGCTTTGGTGACGCCTTGGCCTTGGGCTGCTGGTCGAGAGCCTTTGAGGATTGAGGCTCCTCCGGCGGTGGCTCGTTGAGGCCCCCACTCGAGCTTCCGGGCTCGATCTTGATCGGGTCCATCTTCTCCTGCTCGAGCCACATAGCCAGCCGTCGTAGGTGGATGCTGCATTCCTTTTCTTCGCGACTGGTCTTCATCACCCAATCGCAGTACTGCGGGTAGCTCTCCTTGACCTCGTGATACAGCATCTGTGCATGTCGCCCGAAGCAAACCTGATCGTGGGGAGAGCACGCCGTGTGCTCGTAGAGGTGGTCCAATCCCTTCCCCACCAGCTGCTTCACCGTCATCAACGGGTTGATGTCCATCATGTACTCCTCCTGTAGCAACTTGACCAAGTCGGCTTTCTTCCGGGCGGCTCCGTTGAGCTGCGTCACCTTGATCTGGAGCGGTGTTTTCTGCTTCTTGAGAGCAGCATTGGCATCGAGTCCACGAGCTTGATAGCACCCGATCAGACGATGTTGGATTTGGGCCTTCGTCCAATTCTCGGGCACGTGCTCGCCGATCTCGACTAGCATGCGCAGCAGCTCCTCCTTTGTCGCGCGGTCCATGATGTACCGAGGGAGGTGCTTGCGGGTCGCAGGTAGAGGTCACACACTTCGAGAGGTCACTCTGAGGAATGGATTCCGTGGTGGCTGTCTGCTCAGTCCATCCTGGAAGTGCTGTAGTTCTACTCCCATCACATCTAGTTCTACGCTCTGGTTCCGGAAATTGTTCATGTGCACTACTGTTCCCTACTAAGCCTGACTCCTGATGCTCCTTCCAATCCCTTTCAGGCGGTGGAATCGGAAGGTCATATCCCTACTCCGCCTTTGGCAGGAAGTCAAGGAGGCTGGGAACTTCACATGTAGCTTCTTCGGCATGCGTATACAGATCATCCTTCAAGGACAGGGTCTGGTGGCCTGTCACTGAGCGGCCTACGCGAATGATCTTCTTCTTGTTCAAATGACGAAAGACAACCAGATCATTGCTAAAATCCAATACCGCTCCTAAATTCCGAAGAGTCGCTACAGATAACAAAATCGGTCCCTCGCCCTTGTCGAGGGCGTGGATCGAGAGCTTTCCATCTTTGCCGTCAGCCTTCAGTCCTAGGCTCACTGTGCTCACGCATCGGTCCGAACTGGAATTGCCGAAGCCGAAGGTGGGGGTGTTCTCAAGGTCAACGCTGGACACCCTCGCATCACCATGGAGTGCCGCATTCTGCTTCATCAAACATTCTATGGCGTACACCGAGGCTAACGTTCGAGTAGCCCCGCCATCAAGAATGGCATGTCCTTCGCGAACTGCTTCTGCTGTTGTCATTGTTGGTGTACCCATGAAGGCACTCTGGTTCGCCTCCACATTGGCGTAGCCGATGGCCTCCACCTCGCTGTAGCACACAAAGGGAGCCTCTTCATTCTTACTCTCGTCCACCTGCAAGGCCTTGTTCGGTGGGTCCTTGCAGTTCGCGGCCCGATGCCCCAGTTTTCCACACTTCAAACAGGTCATATTCGCATCATTGTTGGTGGCGCCTCCTCCGCCACGGTGGGAGCTGCTTCCGGCTGAACCTCCATTGCCCCGGGGTCCACCTCGGTAGTATTGCCGTCCCAGCTTCACCTGGTGTTGCCGGTACCTGGCTTCCTTCAAAGTTCGCTTCCCTGCCGTGATCGCCGCCATGGCGCTCTGCGCCTCCACTTCGGCCGCCTCGAGGGCTTCTTGGCCCTCCTCATTCAGCTCGGATCTCGTCATCCACGCCGCTGCTGTACCATCATCCTCGTGCTCCTCGCTGTCGCTCAGCGTCTCCCCGAGGAATCCGGTTTGTCGCCCATGGTCTCGGTTCTTCACATCATGATCACTCCACTGGTTTCTCAGCTCCTGAGCCACACGGTCCACATCATAGATGCCTCCCAAGGCAGTCTGGACCATGTTCCGCTCCGTCTGGCCGAGGTTCGCGTCTTGCAGAAGATACCACCCTTGAACAAAGGATGGTAGGAGCTCCACCTTGGGGCCCTCTGGCTCCTGGTACCCGGCGTTCCAGCTGGAGTAATAAGAGTAGTCTTGGGGCCACGACCGGTCCCACCACGTTCCCCCGTAGTAGGAGTAGTCGTTGTAGCCATACGACCACGACCATGAGGCCCTCTGGCCTTGCCAATCCTGCCAGGAATCTCTGGAGCTGGCATCATCCGTCGTCGCCTCCGCAGGGTCACCATCTCCCTGCGATTCCTGCTCATCATTGGTGCTGTCCACACTGCTCCGGCGACTGTAATACCAGCCTCTGGTCTCCTGGTTGCCGCTTACCTTGGTGGCGCCTGCCTTCTTCTTCTGGCTCGCCACCACACGCTGAAGAGCTTGTTCGGCTCGGAGATATGCCTCGGCTTTCCGAGTGATGTACTCGTTCATCGACTCCTGAGCTTTGCGACGGCAATGCTTGAAGTATCTCGACAAATGCTCTGTCATCTCGGGAATTTGGGGCTTCCCCAGACATTGTCGCAGAAAATCAAGAAGTACCCGCACTCCGTCATAATTGGAAACCCACGTAGGGCTTCTCCCCGACACCATCCGTTTCGCCGCCCCACTCAGCTCAGATATCAGTCGGGGACCGCACAGGGCCCTCTTATGCATCTCCGTTCCAGCTTCATATAAGTAGCAAGCTTCTTCATACGCAGTAAACGTGTTGGCACTGCCATCCCACTTGGGCACACCCTCTTTGGTGCGTTCCACTTCACTAGCAGCCATGCTCTTTGTCTCTCCGACGGCAAAAGCAGTCGGAGCCTTCTTCACAAACGGTCCCTGAATCTCCCAAGCAAGCCCCGTCCTCAAACAGGGCTCCGCGCTACCATGAAAGTCGCTAGACTGCTCAAGCGGATCGTCACTGCAGCAAGGCGAGGGTTCGAGCTAAGCGGGCAGGGCTAAGCACTGCAACGGCTCTACTGTTTTCGCCTCGAGCTGAACATACTGCAAAGTCCACTCCTTCAGAGTGTGATGAATGCATGCCAAGTGATAGCACTTGCAAGGAATATACCTTGAATTGCAAGGGGATTCATACTATGATTTAAGCTATATTCCTTAATTAAGGGGTATTGGGCTCTCTGGGAAAGGAAAACCCTAAACCCCAAACCCTAAACCCCAAACCCTAAACCCCAAAAGGACACCCTTTTGCGGGGGGCGAGCCTCGACCTGCTGGGCCGACTATGCGAGCTGGCGAACGTCCGAAGCTCGTGGTTTCTAATACAGTAAACCCCATAAAGTTGGAAACCGGATTAAGGCCAAATAGTGCTGGGATTCCCTCTACAGTACTCTTAAGGATTGAGGCTATGGGGTTTCCAACTTTTTGGCTTCCACTTTAACCCTAGGTACATTCCTTTCTGAAGCGGTTTTGGAGCCGCCGGGAAGGGTTCTAATAAGTTTGCCTGAGGGTTTTGGGGTTCTAGGCTTTGGGGTTTAGGATTTTGGGAATTAGCGCTTGATGGTTTTGGGGAACGGCTTTCAGGGTTTGTTGTTTGAATTTCGGCTTTGAAGCCCAAACAAACACTGTATGAATTGGTCGCTGTTGCCTTCACCCGCTCGGTGTGAGATTACACAGGCTGTCCAAAAACGTTACCTGTTCGGGTGCTTGGTTTTGGGTCAGGGCGCTGTATGGGGCTCGTTCGTGTGAGGGCCACCGGGTGCGTTTGGAGCTTTCCGGAGTGACTTGTGGACAGCCTTTCAATTCCTTTGAAGAAGGGTTTCTAAATATACAGAGAGCAATAAGAGCAGTAGGGGTGTATGCCCAGGATTAGTAGCAAGATACAATAACTGTGGTAAACGGGAAACTGCAAACTAGCAGCTTGAAATGCAAATGTCGCATGCTGGTAGTGTTTGCAAAGTCACAGCCTAGAGATGTTAAGCATACGAACATCATGCAATGATGTTTTGAGCATCACAGTACGGAAAGAACATGGACATCCGATCGTCCGAACGATGACTGGTAGGTGATGGTAGCTGTGGGCAGCAGCAGCAGCAGCTCAGTGTGACGTAGTGGGTTTGAACATTGTAGCCATGCAAGACACCCAGGTTGCACACAAGTCATGTCGTTCTGAAGAAGATCACCCACACTGTGTACTGCCACTGTCTCTTCATTGCATTCCTGAGTATCCATGTTGCACAGCAGTCACGCCGTTCACGTACATCATGCACACAAAATCCGCAGCATACCTCCCACGGTTGTTGTCAAGATGATTCTCAGTTCTGTTGCGAGCACTCTTGCTGTTTGTGTCCTCATGCTGATATGATGCTGAGGCTGTTGCCTATGAAAGCAAAGTGGAAGGCGAAGACTACTCTCTGCAAGGCGCCGGGGACGCTTTTTCGCCAGCGCATTTCCTTTCAGCGTCCTGCTCGGTCAGGCTTGATGGACGAGGATGCAGCGAACAAGGCCGCGCAACAACTGTTCCGGCGAGCCGTCGGTGCTTGAGTCGGCAAGTCTTGCACTCTATCCGCTGCGAGACGCCCCATGATGTGGATGCTGCGCGGCGGGCTTACTCCTGTGGGGTTGAAGTCCAGGGGCTGCAATGCTGGGATCGCTACCACTTGCTTAACAGTCGACAGCACAGCACTGTCTTCGTTGCAGAACCAGCGCACCGGCATGCTCGCTAACACTGTAACCTTTTACTCGTCTGCGCATCAACACCACCTTTGCAGTCATTATCAAGCACAGCGATGTTAACAGCATCCTGACCAGCACCGTCTTCATCATCAGCAGCATCATCATCTGGTACCAGTCACCATCACAATCATCATCTGCATCATCAACAACGTCATCGCCATCGTCGTCATCATTATTGTCTTCCCCTTTTGCAGATATCATCCGCGCTTCCGTCCCGAGACAAGCCTTTCACTGGCTCAGGTTCTTCGAGAGCTTGCAGATTATGGTTCTGCAATGCACTATTCGCTTGGAGGACTTCTTCCGTCCCGGGGACCTCTGTAGCAGGTGCTCTTAGGCAGTCCGAAAAGTAGTGTAGAACCACCTTTCGATATGCCCGTGGACGAGCATGCCCTGTTCTAACATCTTCGGCACCACAAAGGCATCTGCTCAGCAATTGGGCTCGTCTTACGCTTGTCATATCGAGGGTGTACTAAGTCATTGCAGGCATGGAGTCTGCACTAGTGCCGGGCGATTTTCACGAGCCAGGATAGCCACAGCGCAGTCTCAGCGGCAGCCTCCCGCTGCCTGCGCCACATCACAGGCAAGTCCTCCCAGCCGCACCAGGTCAAGTGATAAACGCTGGGAGCTTCATTGCATTTGTTTCTGTGCGATGGGCAAACACCAGTTGACCACTGGCATGCCACATGTTCATTCTGGGACTAGACTTCCTGTGTCCTTCCGCTTCATGTCACTCCGGGCAGATAATATGGGCGCCTTAGTAATTAGAATCGGGTGTTGGGGCCCATACTGAGCTTATAAGAAGGAACCCCCAAAATAGTATTGGTAAGTATTGTTTAAAGCCCCCCTAGATTCTAGTACCGCTATAGATCCCTTGTAGCAACCCTTATATGTGCCAGCATCCGCGCACCCCCCCCCCCCTCCCCCCCCCATGGTAATCCCCCTCCCCCCCCCTGTGGTTCCTGTGGTTCCCCCCCCCCCTGTGGTTCCTCTTGGTTTTCCCCCTCCCTTTTGTGGTTCTTCTGGTTCCTGTCTCCCCCCTCCCCCCCTGTGGTTCCTGTGGTTCCTCCGCGTGGTTGCTGCTGCTTTGTTGTTGCTGCTGTTCTTCTTCTTGTTCTTGTTCTTGTTCTTGTTGTGTGGTCGCCCGGGTCGGGGGGGGGGGGGGATACCATTGGGGGGGGGGGGGGGTCGAGAACGCGGAGCGCGGGCACATATAGACCCCTTTTTACAGGAACCCTTGTTTTACATAGGTCCTTTTTTTGTTGCATTGTCCTGTGCTGCGAGGCACGAATGTCCTTGGAGGAGTCGGCATGTCGCTCGGCCCTGAGAACCCGCTGCGCTGCATGAGGCTGACGTCGCAATGAAATATGCGTGGTTGTGAAGATTATGGTCCCTTTTTGGGTCCCTAATTATAGTACGGCACCTAATATATAGGGTACCCAACAAGGGACCACAATTTCGACAACCACCCATATAGTAGAAGCCAGAAAGTTGGAACATCATTATCCTCATGCCCTCAAAGTGCAGTATATGAAATCCCGGGACTAATCGTCCTAAATCCATGTTCCAACTTTCTGGGCTTCACTTTATACTGTATCTGTAGGCTTCCTTTAAAGGGTTTATCAGGATTGCTATAAGGGATCTATAATGGTACTGCATAATGTAGGGACCTTAATAACTACCTATTCTATTTTGGGTGTTCCTTATTTTCAGTCTTAAGTTTTGTATAATATGGGCCCAAAAATTAGGCCCCTACATTAGGTAGAGTGCATTCGCATAGATGGGAAGTCCGATTTAAACCCTTAATCAAACCCTTATCCCTCGAGAGTGCTTGCCGGCGAAACGTGCCCGGGCTTCTGTTTTGGAATCCCAATTATGCACAGGCCTCCGCAGCCACAAACATCTCCGGATCCGTTTGGCAGAATTTTTGGCATGACTCTTGCATGTTTGCCAGTTGTTTTCAAGAGGAGAATATGGTTGGCGAATCTGCCCGATGTGATCTTTCACATCTCTGCAGATAAGAAAGCTCTTGGCACCGAAATAGCAACTCGAATGGCAATGTCTGCAGGAGTCAGTATTCATTGGGTAGATTACAAGTGATGCTGGTAATGTCGATGACAGTACTATTATTGCCCAAACACGACCACCACCAATCATCATCATACTAGCATGAGCAAAAACCAGACCTTCTCATACCTTGCAACCTCCTCGCGAAACCCACTGTTTTAATGCCACACATACGTATTTGCATGCATACATACATACATACATACATACATACGTCCGAACATGATGTATATATACACATATATATATATATATATACATACACGCTGGTACGTGTGTATAGACGTGGATAACACAGCAGAAAACTCCAGATCGGTTTGCGCATTATGTATAGACAGCCCTCGCCGGGTTTTCAAGGCTCTCTTCCCGGAGCTCCCTCGCCGAGCAGGCCAGACAAAGAGACCTGCAGTTGATCTGATTACGGCTGAGGGTTTTGGATTTAAGATTAAGAGTTTAGGGTTTAAGATTTTGGGTTCAGGGCTTCGGGTTTAGGCTTTAGGGTTTAGGGTGTAGGATTTCGGGTGGGGCGTTTCGGGCTGTAGAGCTTAGGTATTAGGGGATGATCAACCTGGTGGTGTTTTCCGCTGTGATCATGAGGGATTACTCTTCTACGTACTACGCTTGTTATTTCCCCGCTGGCAACACTACTATTACATACTATTCATCATTCGAGTATGTTTGTAATCAACTTAAATGTTCATTCTACTACATGTAACTAGTAGTGTTATTACTTTACCTGAACCACCTTTTT